TCGCTTCGTCGCGCTCGACATCCTCCAACGACGTCGCAGCCGCAGAGACAGGGACAGCCTTCTTCGTGCCCCCGCGTCTCGTCGGTGCCAGTGCGGTAAGTTTGTCATTTTTGCTCTCCATTGGCGCATCGCTCTTTTCCTCATCATTGTGGTGGACGGATTCTTCAGTCTCCTTGTCTGCGGCGGCTGCGGCGGCTGCGTCCGCCCCATCTTCGCCATCCTCGTCCTGGCTCACCGCCGCCGCAGGGGCAGCGGCCTTCCTCCTCCCCCGCGTCGTCCGTGCCGCTGTCGTCTTCTTGCTCTCCACATTCTCGTCAATGCGCTTGGAAGACTCCTCATCCTCTTTCTCTCCGGCGGCGTCGGAAGCCTCCGTGGACTCAAACTCCGCCCCGGTAGTCACATCGTCTGTCTTCAGCTCAGCAGCGGCAGCAGGTTCCGCTTTCTTCCTACCCCTGGTTGTCCGTACAGCTTTACCGTTCGTGCTTTTCGCTACACCCGCTCCTTTCTCATTCTCCGCATTGAACTCAGCGGAGTGTTCATTGTCGTTCTCCGTGGCGGTGGAAGTGGACGCGCTGGTCGCGCCGCCAGGTACATCGTCGACATCCACCTCCGTGCTCGAAGCAGCACCCGCGTCGGCGGCACCAGCTTGCACAGCTTTCTTCCGCCCCCGTGTCGTCCGTGCTAATACGGTAGCTTTCCCATGCGTGCTCTCCGCCAGTGCATCCCCGGTCTCCTCGTCGGCATTGCGGTTGACTGGTTCTTCATTCTCTTTCTCTGCGGTGGCGGTAGCTGAAACAGTGGCGGTAGACGATTCGGTCAGCTCCATTTCCGCGCTCAAAGGGACGGGTGCAGCCTTCTTCCTCCCCCTTGTCGTTCGTGCCGCGGTGGTCTTCTTGCTTTCCGTTATTTCCACCGTCTCCTCACCGCTCTGTTTATCGCTCTCAGTCGTCTGCTCAGCCACATCAGACACCTCGGCAACATCCCCCGGCCCCCCGTCTTCTAGAACTGACTGCTGCGTTTTCCGACCCCTCGTGACTCGCGACGCCGCGGGTTTCGTCTCTACATCACTCTCAACAACCGCCGTCGTGTCCCCGTCTTGCTTCCTCCCCCGCCGTGCCCTCGCCGACACAGCACCCTCATCAGAGGTCGGTTCCGCCGATGCGGTCCGCGAGGCAGCGACGCTCGTCTTGCCGCGGCGTGTTCGTTGCGCAACCGTGGTGTCGCTATCATCAGCAGCGAAATGGTGCTCACCGGCGGTCGGGTGGGGTAGCGACGCAGTAGCAAGAGCCTCAGGGTTGGTTAAGGCCGCGGTGTCGGTTGTGGGGTTTCGACGCCGGGAAGCACGTGTGGGCGGCGGTGCGAGATGCGTTTGCTGCTGCTGCAGTGTCTCCGGGTCCGGTCCGCGTGATCCATCGGCCCGCTCAGGAGCCGGTGCTAGTTCCACGGCCGTATCCACCTCCATCGTCCCATCTCTTCCACCATCCTCACCCTCCTCTGCGTTGTCCTGAAGCCCATGACTTTCAACAGCAGGTACAACCTTCGGCTTCCGCCCCCTTCGCGCCCCCGCAGATTTCACAGGCGGATCAACATCCCCGCCGCTGTCTGGCTTCTCGACCCTTTTCTTTGCGCGGGTAGGTGCGGCAGCTTCCACCACCGCAGCGCCCCCTGCCACGGAATCGTCAGCTTGGACGGCGCTGACGCCGACATTCGGGTCCTGGGCCCGGCTGCGTAGCGCACGACGGGCAGGTGCGCGGGCGGCAGCGGCAGGCTGGGGTTTATCCGACACCGGTTTCTGCTCCTCATCATCGTCATTCTCTTCGATCTCGTCAAACGCGGGTACCGGTACCGCTTCGGCTTTCTGCGTCGTTTCCTCGTTTTTCTTTTTCCGGCCTCGCGTACTCCGTTTCGGTTGGGCAGGTGTGTGCTCCGACTCGATGGACGGTTCACCTCCCGCCAGCTTCTCGCCAGCCTCCACCGCGACGACGGGATCGACCGCCGGTTTCTCTTCCAACACCTCCGAGTTTACATCGATTACATCACCCGCCGGCCGCTCAGGGACGCCCGCCTCCGTCTCAACAGTGTCCGGAGTTGCGCTTGGGGTCGCGTCCTCCGCTTCGGCCGGGGATGGCACGGCAGCATGCATCTCCACGCCGCTACCCGCCTCTCCACGTCCATCCGCCTCGTGTAGCATGCCCGCGGGTTCGGCCTGCATACCCGCATCTGCAGCATCACGGTCAATCTCCACCCGGCCTGCGTCGTTAATGACATCGACGTCCATCCTCTCGTCCAAAGCGTCGACGCCGAGGGGAGTCGGTAAGGTGGCTGCGGGTCCAGCATCCCCACCCCCGACCTCAGACCCTTCCCCAGCGCGAATCTCATCCTCCTTTGCCGTCACGGAAGCGTCCGCTACCACACTGGCGGTCCCGCCGTCGATACCCACTTCCGATCCAGACACATGTGCGTCCTTGGCTCCATCCCCGTGCGCGGGTTCAACGGAAGACTCGGGATGGGCCTCGTCGCGACCGTCCATCCGCCGCGCTTGCATCTCCGCCTGCACCTCACCCAATGTGCGCAACGAGTTTGCGTCCGCTTGCTGCACACCGCCGGGCCCACCCACCTCCGTTCCGTCATCCGTCTTCACAGCTGCACTCACATCGCGCGCGTCCGTATCGCTCACCGCCGCAGGAGCGGCCCCGCGCCCCTTGCGCACAGGTCCCGTCCGCGTCGTCTTCGGATCCTTCGTCGCTGCCGCCGTCGCTGCTACGTTTTTCGCAGCAGCGACGGTCTTGGGCGGCCGGCCACGACGGGGTTGCAGCGGCTGGGCTACGTCCACGGCAGGAGATGGCGGGGCCTCGAAGAGGGGTGGGGCGGGCTCGGGGGTTGTGGTTGGTGCTGGTGATGGGATGGAGACTTCCGCTGCTGCTCCTGCTACTGTAATGGGCTCTTGTACAGGTTCGGTGGGGAGTGCGACGGGCTCCACTTTTACACCGAAGAGACGCGTGTCTTGCACACTCTGTTCCGGCGACGTGACAGCCTCCGTCCCAGAATCTGGCCCCGTCGGCGGGACATGCATGGGGGCCGCGGGTGGATGTATCATCACCGATTCCTTCGGGACAGCTTCTCCCGCTTCCCAACCGGGGGCCTGTGGAGGCTTCCTCGGCGACGCGACGAGCCCAGCTTCGGCGTCGGCTTGAGCACTTGCTGGACCGGAAGAGTGCGAAACCTGCATCGGGAGGGTGTTCACATCCTGCACTGTTCCACGAGTCGTATCTCCACTGCCCGGTTCCGGCGCCGCATCTTCCATCGGCATCAACACCAACGGCTCAGGCTTCATCACATCCGTGTGATCGGCTGCCATAGGCTTGAGCCCCGGCGTCGATGGGCTCTCAATACGCTTGGGTTCCTGTTTATCCTTGGGGGCCTCCAAAGAACTCTGGATCGGAGTCCCCAGTCCGTCCGCACTCCCCGTCCTCGAGACACTCGGCACGCTCTCGCTGCTCGCGGTTCGACCCATCAGCCCACCCCGCACGCGCTTCTTCGCAGTGCTGGCCGCCGTCGGCCGCATGTACGACGGCCGTACGGGTGTCGCCGGTGCGGGTGTCGCGATGCCTTTGGGAAAAATGGGTGGGAAGAGCGGACGGACGACGGGAGGGTCTGAAAGGTGAGGTGATGGGCCGCGCTGGGTGGGTGGTGTGGACGGGGTTGCGGTAGCGAGCTTGCCTTCGAGGAGGGGTGCTGTGGGTTCCGAAATGGATGGTGATGCCGCGTGCAGTGGCGGAGTCCCCTTCTCCCCCGGGGATGCCGGTATCGTGGCCGGGGGGGCATCCGGCTTTGGTGACTGCTGACGCATTTCAGAAGGTTCATTGGACGTTTGCACAAGCGTCGGGTCTTGCTTTGTAATCACATCCAAATCCTCCGATGGATCAACAACCTCACTCTCCGCCGTGTCCCATATCGGCAGAGTAGAAATGGTCCCACTCGGTGAAGCGGGCGCACAACCAGCATCCGCCGATATCCCGCCGACCGGTACCGCAATCGCCTGAAGAGCCGTCTCCGGTCCACGAGCCGCCGGCACATCCTCTTCGCACGGCGCCGGACCCTTCACACACTCCACACCAAACCGCCTCCCACACATCTCCACCACGTCCCCGTCTCCAACCTCAACAGCGTCCATGACCTTCATCTGCACCCCGTTCAAGCTCGCGCCGTTGACGTGATCGTAGCATGTTACGAACGTCTGGAATCAGAATCCGGGATGTCTTAGCTTTCAGGTTACGTCGGTTGTTGGGGATATGAATCTCTACCTTGTTTTGTATCTGATCAAACACGTATTCGACATGCTTCATGCCGTAGATTGGGAGGAGGCATTGGATGGACGAGCCGCGGGCTCTGAAAACCGAAGGCGGGGGTCGTTAGCAATCCAAGCGAGGCTGGTGTGCAATTGCATGCTGCGTGTGTAAGAGTCGTCGGCACATATACATACCTCCCAATAGTGACTTTCGGCTGTGACGCAAACACATCCAGCGAGCTACAACACAATCGTAACAACCAGTCAGCCGGGGTCATTCTGCCTCATGAAGCACGCCGTTCCCGCCCCGCGAGATAGATGCGAACGACAACGGGTGTGAAATGAGCAACTGAAGAAAGAGACGAGGACATACCCAGCAATGGCCACACCGTCTGGAGCGTAGCAGAGGATACGAGCTATCGGCGGCTCCTCTCCTTCTTCCTGGGGCTGCATGAGTGAGCAGGTGGGGGTGTTGGGAGTGGGCGGGCGATCTGGGGCTCGTAACGCGTGGACGACGGGAGTTCGGACGACTCCCTTTTCTCCTCGCACCTTCGCCCTGCACAGAGACGCCATTGGAGCCATTGGGAGAGCGAGATATATCCATACTGTATACAGCACACAGACTGGCCTCAGCTGCCCCCCGCCCTCGTCCCGTTCGCCGCTCCATTCCTTCTCTCTCGCCTTCCACCTCTCCCCACAACCCAACACGGACATGCACAACTCAGACAGCGACTCCCCCACCCCACCCCCACCCTCTCCGCGGCGCCAGCACCCCAACATCCTCCTCACCGGCACCCCAGGCACGGGCAAGACCACGACCGCCTCGCTCCTCTCCCTCACGCTCTCGTACCCGCACATCGAAGTCGGCGCCCTCGTCAAGCAGCACGCGCTGCACACCGGCTACTCGGCTGAATTCGACTCGTACTACATCGACGAGGATAAGGTGGTGGATTATCTCGAGGACGAGGTCAGCGAGGGAGGGCGCGTCGTCGATCACCATGGGTGTGATTTCTTCCCGGAGAGGTGGTTTGATTTGGTCGTGGTGTTGAGGGCCGGGACCGAGGTGCTGTTTGGCCGCTTGGAGAAGAGGTAAGAAGAGTGCGAGAGACCGAGAGTGCGATGGCGAGCCCCCCCTGCCCCGCCCCCCGGATGTTTTTGCGAGCGACGCCGAGGCAGTCGTGCGGGTTTTGTCTGACCCTCCCCCGCTTGTCTCTATCCCCCAGAAACTACCCCCCCAAGAAGATAACAGAAAACATCGAGTGCGAAATCATGCAGGTCGTCCTCGAAGAAGCGCGCGACTCATACGCCGGCGATATCGTTTGGGAGCGCTCGAGCGAGACGGTCGATGACATGGAGAGGAACGTTGAGGAGATTGCGGCGTGGGTGGAGGCGTGGGTTGCGCGGAGGGCTGTCGAATGAGTGAAGTGGGTGAAATTGGGGGATGGGGGGAGGATGGGTTGTATATACAGTAGGTAGACTTAATTTAGGCAGATTTTCATTTAGAATAGACGAGGGTTCTCCCTCACGAGGGTGGATGAAGGTTATCATGGTTATTTCAGTCCTTCTATTCCGCATATACGGCGCGGGGTGCGGTTGGTAAATATATATAAACAAATGGGCGAGATGGGGTACATCCACGGCGTATCTCTCGTTCTCTCTTGCCAAGTCGTACTCCCTGCTCCGCTCGTTCTCTCGGCATCCATCCCCCTTCCTCCTACTTCGACACTTATTCAAGAATGACGGTAGCACCCAATGCTTCCAACGTCTTCTTGATCTTCTCCGCCTCCTCCTTATTCGCGTTCTCCCGGATCACCTTCGGTACGCTCTCAACAAACTTCTTGGCCTAGGGGAATCAACATCGAGGGTTGAAGAGATTGCCAAAATCGTCATGAGGGTACTACTGACTCAAAGCTCCATACCTCAACCAAGTTGGCGCCTGGCAGCAGGGCCTTGATCTCCTTGATGATCTTTGCCTTTGATGCTGCGTCGAACTTTTCTAATTTTACTTTGAATTCTGTCTTTTCAGCTGGCTTTTCCTGTGTATTCGAGATGGAATATCAGACGGTGGTCCCTCCGAATGAATCGACCATTTCCCACTCTAGTAAGGCGAGTACGAACCTCGGCGGCGGGTGCGGCGGCGGCGGCACCTCCAGCAGGTGCGGCGGCAGCAACGGGCATCACAATATCCTGGATGTTCAGTTTCGTCTGCACAAAGAAAACCAAAACTTTACTACCACCTCCCCCACCCATAGAATTTCCCCCCTTCCCGCGATCCACACCTTCAAAGCCTGCACAAGCGCGGCAGTCTGCAACAGGTTCAACTGCGCGATCGAGTCGACAATAGTCGCAATCTTGGGCTCAACTGGTGCTGGTGGTGCCTGTTGTGTTGGCGCGGATGCTGAGAAGGCGCGGACTGCTATTGGCGATGGGCGGAGGGTTTGGCGTTGTCTGGGTTGGTGTGGTGATTGTGATCAGAATTGGCTTCCAACGAGGGGGGTGTGCGGAATCGAGTCCACGACATCCACTTTGGTAATTGCTCCACTGGCCTCCGCCGTTCTCGTCAATCCGTCACGAGAAGCCCCCATCTCCCTTCCCTTCCTCATGGACCCCCCTCCTGCGCTTTCTCCACTACTCACAGCAAACGCGGGCAGACATTTCGGCCGATGACGGTGCGTAACGTGGGATGCTGCAAAATGAATAGAGCGATAGTATGAGCGACGCTTCCCTACCACCGTCCCGCACGGGTGAGCCAAACCCTGACGCCTACCATTGTGTATGTGAGAGTGAGTAGTCTATGTTGGTGCTGCGAGCCTGTATTTTTCCCACCGGGGTCGTTGCACGCTTGGGACCAGCCAGCTTGACGACCACCCCCGTCGAGACGAGTCTGCGCCACTCGCCCGCCACTGGCCGCGCCACTCATTTCGAGCTGCTTCCAAACACTGTTTGGTCTGTGAGGAAAAACCGAATGAAGCGGTGAACTAACAGACAGTAACAGCCTCGCACCGAATCACGTAGACGCAGGGTGCCAGATCCCCTCTCTGCTTGTCTCGTCCGCACCCCTTCGCACCTCCTGCGCCCCCCCTGCGACGCCCTGCATCATCATTCATCATTCATCATTCATGCGTGCAATGAGGCGTGCACCTGATCGCATCGTGACGGGCGTCCCCTCGGTGTCCGTCTCGATTCATTCTTGAGCCTTGGCTTGACCATTGTCCCCCAAATCCGCTCTGGGAATGATGAATTGGCGCACCCGTCCGGTTCCGGTGTGATACCTTTTGATTAGATCGCATTATGAGTGGTTAAGCTTAAATTCAAAGGCTTCCCAGGTTCCAGAAAGTTAAGCTTCATGAATACTAGCATCAGTGCACTAATTAGATGGAGGGAGAGTCATCGCGTCGATTGCAGCCAGACCATCCGCACGCCCGGGGTTGGGAATGCTAGCGGCGGTGCATGTGCGGATGGTGTATGGCACTAACTGTGGGAGGCCGTGGTTGTCTGACCTCTGGGCTCTGCGGGTATGCGACAATGTGTGTTTGTGTCCGCCCAAGCCGCCGCTGTGTTCCCTCTCGCTCCGTCGCGCTCTTACGTCGACGCCGATCGCCCGAATTAGATGAACTATGCATTATGATGATCATGAGTTAACTGCCAGACGGCTGGCTGGGCTGGGCGTCAACACAATTGCGAGAGAGGAACGACAGGGGTGGGACAACTTGGCGCCCACAACCAACAACAACAACAACAACAACAACAACCTATACCTTCCCTCCCTCCCTCCAGGCTCCCTCCCTCTCTCAGCAAGCACTTTATTCCAGTGCTATCCACTCTCTGGCGCTTGCTTCGCTGTTCCGTCTGCGAGGGGCTGCTTGCTTCTTGTGCGGCGAGGAAAGAACCCCGTACAGTTATTTGTAGAGAGAGGAAAGGAAAAAGGCCGTAGATCGATCATTAGCGCGAGTAACCTGCACCCGGCCGGCGTCCGTCCACAAGGACAACCCACAGCCCACAAACCCTGAACGAACTATTCTGAGAGCCCGCCCCCAGCGCCCCTTCCGTACGATTGGTATTCCGTCAGTACCGCCAGCACTTTAAGCGCGGGAACCTTCCAAACCGCTTTATTAGGAGCGGCCGACACCACGGAGTCGATATTGCCCACAGTAGGACGTACTGTAGGGAGAGGCTGTTACGCCATCCCTCATCCCCCAGTGTTCTCGAGGAACGCCCACCTCATCGCCCGTCGCCGCAGGTGTGTCGTGAGGGCTTCCGACGCCTCACACACACACACACGGGATACTCAACTCGACCCCGACCATCAGCTCGGGATAGCATATACATAGAACATAGTTAGACGAACCATGTCGGGTACGAGACCGCCATTACTGGCAGTAGCTGTCGCTGCAGCTGCTGCGACGGTTATTACGGCTGTGTGTGCTGCGCCGGTGGGGGTGAGACGGCCGAGGGATGGTGATGTGGGAGGGGTGGCTGTGGATGGGGGGCAACCTGTACTGGGGAATGTCGATGTGAGTATGAACAGCGGTGTGAGCGGGGTGGGAGGTGTGCGGGACAGGACTGCCGTCCCAGTAGGCGCTCATATGACGCTTGGCCTATTGTTTGCTTGAATGGCTTTCCAAAGGAACAAGTACTAATCTGATGACGTTGTTTTCCATCTCCAGGCCGCCATATTCGCATTAGACCGGGAAACCCAAGATGACCCTGGCGACCACCGCGCCTCAACCGGAAGCGATTCCGCCGTCTCAGGCGTCCACCTCGCCCCCTGGATCATCCCGGTAATAGTCGGCTCGATCCTCCTCGTCGGCGGCGTGATCGGCTACTTCCTGTGGCGCCGGCACAAACGGCGGATGCGCACAAAACGCAAAGGCAAAGGGCTCGACCCAGCCTTCGCGCCCCCGGAATCCCTCGAGATGATGGAACGACGCCGGTCCTCGCTCCGTGTCCCCGGGTGGATCCGCAAAGAAAAAGACCGTAGAAGCGACACATCCTCTGTGGAAACAATCACCCAATTTGGGAACGACAGCTCTAAAAGCGTCAACTCCGACCAACCTTTACTCCCCGGTGGAGAAACAGACCTCTACGCACTTGCCAATGGCGGAAACCCATCACAGAAATCCCTCGCCATCACCAACGGGGTTACAACAACGACCACCCCGGCCCCACCCGTCCCCGCCCTCCCCACCCGCACCGCCACCGAAGCCCACCTCGCCGCCATGCTCAGCTACCGCGGCCCACCCCCTCGCTTCACCGGCGGCTCATCCAACTGGTCTGCCCCAACCGACGAAGGCGTCCTCTGCCGCGCCGTCTTCGCCCACAAACCCGACGAAGACGATGAGATGATCCTCCGCCGTAACGACTATGTCGTCGTCGACGCCTTCTATGAGGATGGCTGGGTGCTCGTGCATCAACAGGATCCGGTCACCTACCGGCCCAAACTCAAAAACATCACCACCACCTCCAACGGAAAAGGCAAAGATTCAGCCGTATCGGTCTCCTTCCTCGCAGGAATCACCCACAGCAGCAAAGACAAAGACAAATCCCCCCACTCCCCACACACAACACACCCGCCCACCACCACCGCCGACCAACCCAACGGCGGCTGGCGCTCCCGTCTCAGTCTCGGCGGCGGCGAACCCAAATCCTCATCATCTCCCACCACCTCCCCACCCGTGCCCTCCAACACAGCCGTCAAACACCTCACCGCCTCCCCACCCTACCCCTCCATCGCCGCCGCCGCCGACTACACCACCACCACCACCAACAACAACGGTAACGCCCCCACCACCAACGGCACCACACACACCACCAAACGCGACCAGTCCCAATCCGGCGTCGTCCCCTGGCGCTGCCTGTACCTCCTCACCGACGACGAGATCAGGACCGTGCAGTACAACGCCGCGATCGATCCCAATGTCGGCCGCGCGGTGTATAGTCAGCAGATGTTGTTTAGTTTTAGGTGATTGTGGGGGCGGGGGGAGGGGGGGAGGGGGGGCGGGGGGAGTGAGGGAAGTGGAATCCTCATATTGGATCCAAATGGAGAGAACGGAAGTGGGTTGAGAGCAGGGGAGGGGAGGGGAGAGCGTAGAGGGGGGGAGACTGACGACACACCTGGCGCATACCTTTTGTTTTGTTTTGTGTTTTGCATCTGGCGGGGGGAGGCGGGGGGGGGCTGGGGGGGCATTTGTCCGCGCTTCTCCTCTCCTCCCTCACACCTATCTTACAAACCCCACCTGTTGACGATGAGACGGCACCGCGGGGGAGGATTTGGCACACGTTGGACGGGACGGGACTTTTCGCAGGGGGGGCTTTATATACCGCCCGTCGGAGGGCGATCGAGTGAGTACGGGGACCCCAAGTTTTAGCTGGAAGCGTTTTGCGGGGGATGGGCAGACCTCCATTTTTGTGATGACTTTTTTTTGTCTGTTTCATTTTGCTTTACCTTTTCGTACTTTTGCGGGTTGGGTGGGGGGGTTGTTTTTGATGCTGCTCGTGCTGGCATGGGAACTCTGGGGGATACTTTGTTTATTCGAATACTATTTCTGAAAGTCCTCGTTTGGTGTGAGGCTGGGATTTTAGTAGGTGAAGAGAGGTGAAGTTGAGGTCTGGACTAAATGCAACGTCACGAAGTCGGGAGAAATCGACAGCGCGCGGGTCCAGACACTCCGTCCGACACCTTGAGTAACCTGAATGACACCAGAGCAATCCCGAGATCCGACCTTGGGTGAAACAAAAGCATCGAATTTGTTCATAAAAAGTGGTACACATAAGGGTTGGTATCAACGAGATGAAGAACAACGAGGAAGGACGAAAGAAAGGCTAAATAATCCACGCCGACGTGGCACACTCAGGGGAAAAGACACGAAAGGAAAATGTATACAGGCGGTTGTGGCGAGGGGTATGCAACTTAGATATAGGGGTTGTGGGGGTATACGCCGTGAAAAGATCGCCATCTCGTTTCCTGCTCCTCGATTTTCCCTTCTCTGCCCCAATGACAAAATAACGACGTTGCTGAACTTGAGGACGCGATATTTCACTGCTGGGATGAGCCAGCCACGGGTCTCGCCGCCGGGGTCGGGGTCGCAGGAACTTGCTGGTGCTGCTGCTGATTAGGGTCAATCGTTTTCGGAGCTTGAGCGGAAGTCGGCTGTCGCATCGGGAAATTCTGAGCGAATTGCTGAGGCATGCCGGCAGGAGCCGCTGGAAAGCCCATCTGCTGCGGCCATCCCAAGCCATTAGGTGCGGGGGGAGGGGCCGACATTCCGGGATGGAAAGCGTTGGGAACCGGGACATTCGAGAAGGCGTTTGGGAATGAGCTGACTGCCGCCATGTTGGGGAACACATTGCCCCCAAAGCTTGTCGGAGCCATGCTGAACGCGCTCGGTCCGCTGGCGTTCGGTTGGTTGGGTGGTACGCTTGTGGTCATAGTGCCGAAGGACAACCCACCGAAAGCTGCTTGCTGGAACTGTTGCCGCTGGCTCGCTATCATCTGTCGCATCTTTTGGCCGGTTGCCAAGAGTTGACTCACATGATCCACCAATGGCTTGAATGGCGGGATTCCTTCTCCAGCAATACTCTTGATCATGACAATAAGGTTGTTAACCTTGAGAGCCAGCTTAGGCGCCTCCCTTTGTAGCGCTTGGTTCAATTGCCACCATTGCATGGAGGCAACCCCAGCGTTCACGCGAGACTGCTGCCACACTTCCGGCGGTGTTTTCTGTGCCTCTGGAAGAGTAAAGCGAAATGTGAATCTTTCGAGTCGAGACCTGTGTGTATCCCCATCAAACTGTGCATGCCATACCTTTTCCAGCCAAGTCAATCAGACCATCGATCTGACGCTGAAGGGCATTATGTACTCTTTGCGATTCATCGAACGATGCACTTGTGCCGACGTTGCTTTGCTGCCCAGGGAAGCTCTGGCCAATGTTCAAAGCCGGATCAGACAACATGCGTCGGAGCTCATCCGCTTCCGCCGCGGCAGCCTGATATCCGAACGGCTGCCGGGCAGGAGTGGTTTGTTGACCTTGTTGCAAGGGAACAACCGACGCTGCTGTCGCATTCGAAGTTTCGGCGTTCTCTTTGCCCTTGTCTCTGACCCCGGGGGTGGCACTTAGCCAAACGGCGCCGGTGTTTGCTGGTGTAGGGCGTGGGGTTCCCATATGCTCGATGGAGGGCTGAGCTGCCGAACGTGGCAAGCCTGCGGCAATCAACGGGGTGCCGCTGGTAGATTTGACACCGTAAGCAATTTGAGGCTGTTGGATGTTACCGGACGGTAAGAAGAAACTAAGTAATCTAAGAGCCAGTGTGATTTTAAGACGAAATGCTTACCAGGTCATCCTTCAAGGGAGAGGCGGCCTTTGACTGTGCAGCCTTGGCTTGCATCACATCCGCATACTAAGGAACAAGGATGTTAGTTTCCAGAGCTTTCGGGAAGCAAAGTTCGGGAAAATTCATCATACAGTTCCCCCGGCAGAGGGTTCTTCCGAAAAAATACATGGTGAGGCCTTCGGCTGCGCGGTATTGGCTTGCATCAGCTCCGCATACTGAGGGAAGAAAAGGGGATGAAGGATATGAACGTCGAGAATGTCAGCCGCGGAAAAGAAGTGAGTATCAGCTTACAGTTGCCCCAGCGGATAGGAGTTCCGGGACAGGAGGCGATTCGATGTTTCGAGCCGTTGAGGTATCGATTTGCATGTCTTCAGCCTATCCAGTTAGGGGATGTCAGACTTTTCTCAACTTGGTTCTAAAGCAACGTTCCCCAAAATCCCGCATACCGCCATTTCGATGCTGACGGCTCTGGATCGGGCTTCTTGAATATCTTCCATGGCGACCGCAGCCTGAGTTTGCAAATGAGACATGGAAGGGTCCATCAGCAGACATGGACTTTCGGAAGCTGCGGTCCCCTTCGTACCGTAGGTTCTTGCGTCGCGGAAACTGTTAAATCATTGGTGGATTCCTGCATCTGCGAGCACCAGAAGGGATTTCAACAAAAGACAGGCATCCCCTTCTCCAGAACAAGTGCTTTAACTCACCGCCATCTCCTCGAAAGAAACAGGCGTAGCTTCGACATTAGCGAATGTGTTGGAGCTCAACGATCCCTCCGCAACCGCTTTCCGGATTGCTTCCTCCAACAAATCTGCATACTAAACACGGCGAGAAGATTTATGAATGTGATGCTCACCTCTCATCGAGGGCGGCCTTCGCTGATACGAACCGTAACATGGTCACTTGCCGCAGGTGACAGGGCTTGAGTGACCCATGGCAAGTGGTGAGGCAAATCAGCAGCAACGATATCGAACTCGGTGTCCTTGAACAGTTGCATGTTGGTGGCCTTGGCATATTGCTCCAACCAGGAGGTGGAATGTGGCGCACGAGCCGGATCGCCAAAAGAGGAGTGGTGCTGAGATGATGATGATCTAGGGCTGGTCTCATCTGCGAAAGGGAAGTACGGGCATTAGACGAGAGAGCAAATGCAGCGGAGTTGCACTCGAACCGACCGTCGAGCATGTCCCAAGGATTCGGCTTGTCAGATCCGGAGCTGCTGAACCTGCGGCTCCTCGGCCGGATTGCACCCGTGTGTGGGATATTTTTGGCTATAAGTGAACCTTAGTGAACAGATGTTTGATGCTGGATTAGCAGAGAGGGCCTCATACCTTCCCAGGCGTGGCCGTCAGGTCGTGTAATACGGACTGGTTGGACAGCCGGTCGTTGGTGCATACTGAATCCTCTAGGAGGCTGAGGAGCCGGCTTTTCCCACGCATTGGGCGAGTTGGAAAGACCCAGCGAATCGGAGCTCTTCCGGCCGGGGGTGGTCCTGTTTTCGAACGCAAGGGGAGAACTGGACCGAGGCGGATGGTCTTTTTCCCACGAGAGAGGAGAGCTGGAACGAGGGGTTGGAGCTTTTTCCCGGGCGTAAGCCGGACGGTTAGTAGGCCTGGTGATACCGCCGGATGAGGACTGTGCGGTCGGCGTCTCCCAGGCATGTACAGGGGCAAGGCCGACCGCTTTTTCAGTCTTGGGAGTGCTTGAAGCACCCTGCTTAGGACCAGCGCTGCTATGCTGAGCGGAAGACGACGTTTCCCACACATGCCGAGCAGCGGCTGCCTTGGGCGTTGTTGGTGTCGACACCATATCGAAGAGTTTCTTGCGGTCTGCGTTCCGGTTCTGCCGAAAGAGCAAAAAAAGTCCTGAGCGGAAGACGGTTGGTGCGCCCTTGCAGCATAGAGACGAGCGACGCTTAGAATGAAGATATGGAGAGAGCTACCAAGGCGACGATGAGGAGACTTGACAAGTAACGAAGGAGCTAGCGGCGAAACTGTGTGAAGCGCAAGGTCTGTGAAGCGCAAGGTCTCTAGTTTCGTGGGAATATTTGGGGGTTGAGACGGGAAAAGAAGAGAAACAGCCATGGGAAGGGGCTTTTCATTTTGTTCCCAGCAGCCGTGTGTGACAGGGGACGCGGGGGAGAGAGCACCGCAACAAGGACACACCCCCCACAGCGACCACATTCCATACCACATCCACACACAGGGCTCCGCTACCCGATCAGGGCGCATTCCCTCAGACTCACTGTGCGTCTCTGCGTGAGCTGCTGGTTCAGATCCACGGGAAAAGCCTTCGGACAGCGAAGAAACAGCTGCCGAAAGTTTTCGACAGCTTGTCAAACAATCTTCCTTTTGCTCGTCCAAACGAGGAGTTCTATGCCGAACCATATCATTAAGAGTGAAACTCTCCCTCCATTAATTCTAAAGTGGATTGGTGAGAGTCTTGGAGAGGCCTATCTGGTCTGAAACTGCATGGTTCTATGTGGGGATTGCGCTCAGCACTCGAAGGGGGTTCGCTGAGGGGTCCACTGTCGAAATTAGCCGTCAGCGTCAAAAAGCCCTGTCAATCGCGTCATCATGTCTGCTCCCCCAACGTTATATACGTAAAGTAACCAAGGAAGCTTTTCTGGTGAAAGCGATAGACAAGTAGCAATAGTACTCCATCATCTATTTTCCAATGTGCATCCATGCAAACACGGCTGAAATGTGATTTGATCCGACTCGAGGGCGTTCGCGAGGCATCAGGGCATCAGGGCATCATCCTCCGCGTTTACGCACCCTGAGAAAAGGATCTTCTTATCAAGGCTATCGCTATGCATACGCTATTTTCCCATCTTAGAATGTAAGGTGCTACGACGTACACGTTATAAGACAGTACGCACCCCAATGTCAAAGCACAGAAAACATCCAACGTCACTATACATACACCGTCCGGTTTGCAAAAAGTCACACAACTACAGATACACACGCCAGAGTAAATCATCATCACCCCAAACGTCCAGTCTACGCCCTCACATTACGCGACTGCCCAGCAGCGCCTCGCAAAGCGCTCGGCAGTCTCGCCTTCTTCAGTCCCGTGCTTCTACCGCCGGATCTGTCAGGCTCGCGTTGTTGTGCGATCCGCTGATGAAAAGAAAACCGAGTCAGTTCTGCAAGTTACATCAACGGATTGGGATGTGGATAGTCCGTACCTCAACAGTAGAAACTCCATCCCTGAACTTCGTCTTGAACAGCACATTCGCGTTGTTAAACATGCCATCCTTCAACGACACAATGATGAATTGCGAGTTCTTGAACCGCGTTTGGATCAGCTGCCCGATGTTTTGCGTGTGCGACAGGTCCAGCGCTGAATCGACTTCGTCCAGAATGTACATCGGCGCTGGCTTATATTGCAGGAGGGAGAGGATCAGTGAGAGGGCGATCAGCGATCTGTCATGGGACGCAACAGAAAGTTAGCATGACAGTCGTTGATGAGGGCAGCATCTCTTCATCAAAGAGCAAAACCCTTTCAAAGATCCATACATACCTCTGCCCACCACTCAACTCCGTCAAACTCTGCTTCCAAACTCCACCCAACGCCACCTTCACCTCCAACCCCTGTGTGATATCCATCCCCTCAGGCGGCTCCAACCGGGCCATATTGCCCGGCAGCAGATCCGCAAAAATCGCGCCAAAATCCACATCAACCTGCTCCCACGTCTTGCGCAGCGCCTCGCGCTTATACTTGTCCAGCTCGCCGATCGTCTCCTGGATCTTGCGCTTGTCCTTCTTCACTGTCGCGAGCATGGCCTTGAGTTGGGTTTCCTTTTTTTCGACGCGGTCAAATTTGTCCATTACTTGCGGGTCAAGGTTGCGTTCGAGGGATTTGCGACGTTCTTCGAGTTGCTTTACGCGTTTCTTGACGTCCGGCATGTCGTGCTTGTGGAAATCGTAGTCGGTGTTGGGTTGGCCGAACATGCTTCAATAGGGGTGCGTTCGTCACAAAACAGGACAATAGGTAGTAATGCTGATGTCTGCATGACTTACTGTTTCTGATCCCCAATCCACGGATGTGCCTTTACAAGCTCAGCAACAACCTTCTGCGCATTCGCCCGGTCCTCATGGAACTTATCCAGCTCGTGCCGCAGTTTCTGCGTCTCGAGCTTACAGTCCTCGACCATTTGCTTCTTATCCTTTTTGCGCTCGGCGAGCTCTTTGCTTTCCGTGTCGTAGGCTGATAGTGACCGTCGTTCTTTGTCGAGCGCGGATTCTGAGGCGTCGTAGGAACGCTGTGATGGATGATGTAGAGCAATACCCTTCGTGAATATGGATCGAAACCAGGATGTCTGACCCCTCCCACAATGACAGATGGAGCTCAGCGCATCCATTGAAAATCTCAGAAATGGCGCTCACCTTGACACCAGCCATCTTCTCCCTCAACTCCCTCTCCTCCTCCCTCAGCGCCTCCACAACCCGCTCAACCTGCTCTATCCGCTCACGAGCCTGCACAACCTCCTTGTCAAGTTGCACAGCCTCCTCTTTCGCGAGCTCCATCTCCTGCTGCATCTGTTTAACGGCGGGCGCGGACTTGGCGAGCTCTTTTTTGCCGTCTGCTAGCTCTTTCTGTTATATCGAAAAAACATCGGGGGTTTCAGTGAAACATGACAATGGACCGAGTGGATCAGAGAAAGACCATTGGCTCCTCAGAATAACAAGTCATTTCCCAACACTCCACAAACGCACCTCCAAAGCCTGCAACTTGCCCTCCCGATGCGTCGAAAACTCCTTCATCTCCTTCTCCACATGCGCCCGGTTCTCGACCGCGGCAGCTTTGCGCTCCATCGCCTCCTTGCGCACTGTTTCTTGGGCCTCGAGTTCCGCTTTCAGAGCTTCCGCTCGTTGTATGACCTATACATCAATGCGAAAGTCAGTCGGACTCCACCGCTCGGGGTAACCGAAAAAAGTTAACATAAAAAGCCAATTGGAAACCCACCCTAGCACTCGAATTTGTCCCCAATCTCTCCTCAATCAGCCGTCCCTCATGCAACTTCAACTCTAACGACTTCGCCAACCCAACCCGATGCCCTTGTTTGCGATGCCACTCCTCCAGCTCTCCCACAACATCCTCCAGCTCCTTGCTCAGCGCCGCATACCGCTTTCGCAGATCTTTCAGCAGGCCCATTTTCACGAGCACGCCGGAGGTGGTGGGGCGCGCGCCGCCGGAGAGCTGGCCGGAGGGGTCGTAGGAGTCGCCGTCGAGGGTGATGCAGCGTGTGCGGATGGCTTTGTCGAAGGTGACCCGTTTGGCGGTTTCCGCGTCTGGTGGGGGTGGGAGGGTGTGATGATGACATGCGTGTGAGCGCGGGTCCGTAGTCACTTTACAAAAACGAGGGCAAAACCTCTCACGACAGCTCCCCTACCTCGACAAACAAACGACCCCCCAAACACATAAGCCATGGCCACCTCCAATTCCTCGTCATACCCCACCAGATTCAATGCCAAATCAACTTTCCCGGGCGCAACCTTCCTCGCCGCCTCCAGCTTCTCGGCCGACACCCTGAACGCATTTATCTTATTCAACGGGATCATCGTTACCCTCTTCCTCAGTCTCCCGTTCTGCAGGAGCTGCGTGCCAACCACCTCTGTCTGCACAACGACGTTGTAGAGCTTCCCGCCAGCACAGACTTCGAGGGCCGTGGACGAGTCGTGGTTTTTGGGGTCAAGGCTGACGAGCTCGGCGACGAGGCCTTTGACGGATTTGCGGTCGAAGTTCGGAGCGGGGGAGGTGTATTCGAATTGGAAGGAGGAGAGGTCGCGTTCTAAGGTTTCGATTTGCTAAGTTTGCAATTGCATCAGTTACTCAGGCTTCCGAACCTCTTTGAGCAGGGCATAGTAAGAATTGGGGCTTGCTGGGCCGGCATACCTCTCTTAACTCATTCGCCTGAACTTGCAACGTCTTCTTTTGCTGCGTTAGCTCAGATTCACGCTCGGGCGCCAGGGACAGGGAATCCAGCTCGTTCTGCACGAGTAATTCGCTATTAGCATGGATGTGTTCCTCACCATCCATCCGGTGCATTTCCAATAATAGTGTGACCAAGCAACGATCTCGCAAACTCACGCCATACACCCACCTGAAGCATATCCGTAACCTTCTTATTAGCCCTGGACTCAGCCAACAGCGAGCTATTCTGCTTTTCCGCCGCCTTTGCTTTCGGCAAAATCTCCTGCAACTCCTTCTTCGCGTGCGCAATCTTCATCTTTGCTTGTTCCGCCGCTGAGGCTGCCGTGCTAACTGCCCTGCTGGCCTCTAGATAATCGACGTCAGTGGTTTAGGTTCCCAGCCGCTACTTTCGCCTCCTGCACCTCCGTCTGCGTACCTTGGAGTTGAGCCTGGTACCCATTATCCTGCCCTTCCTTCGCGGCCAATCCCGTCGACAAAGTCTGGATCAGATCCTCCAATTTGCGCACACTCTGTGTCTTTTCCTCGTACGCGTTCACGGTCGAGTCGCATCTGGCGCCGAGTTGGACGATCTTTTCACGCATGGCTGCAAGCGATGCTTCGACCTGCGGTGTATTGTATCGGAAGTGAGAAGGTACGCACCTAAAAGGGGGTGGACCAATAGGGACATACCTCGGCGCTTTCCTTTTGCAAGTTGGCCAAGTTCTTTTCTTCGTCGGCTATACTCCCGGTCTTCAGATCGCACTGTGTTTTGATCTTGACGAGATCTTTTGCAAACTCTTTGTACTCCGCTTCGAGTTCCCTGAACTGCGCCGAATCCTACCAGTCACCGTGAATGATATCTTTCGCATCAATACCAGCATAGCGGTTATGGAAAAAGGTCCGCGCTCTCCCATTCCGACCTTTTCCCTATCCTCCAGAATCTGCGCTAACTTGTCCTCGATCTCCCGCATATCCTGCACAAGCACCTCCTGCATCTTCTGCAGCGTCACGATGCGTTCCTCTTTCTCCTCCAGGTCTTTACCGGAGGACTGCACTTTGGCCTGGTACTTTGAGTAGTCGTGGGCGATGAGCACGCGGCGGAGGACGTCGAGTTCCGTGGCCATCTTTTGGTATTCGAGGTATGTTCGTTTGGCTGTTCGTAGTTTCTCGAGTTTTGGGCCGATTTCCGTTTCCAGGAGCTGATTGGGAACGCAAGCGAGTTCGGTAAGCGATCGAGCGAAGGGAACAAGCCAAGGTGAGAATCGGGCGATCGCGGTTCCCAGCATCCGGTGGGATCACGCCGAGCTGCTCCGCTCTCGCCCCCGCCATCATGCTCGCCCTCTCCCAATCACTCCCTAACTCACAGTATTGATCTCCTCCAATTTAGCATCCTTCTTCCCCATCGTCTTGATCGCTTTATCCTTCCTATCCTCGAACATCCTCGTCCCAGCCGCCTCTTCGATCAAAGCCAAGATCTCCGGCGGCTTCATATTCAACACCTTCGTGATCCTCCCCTGCATAATCAAGAAATGCGGATTGTTGACATTGAGCTGCACCGATTGAAACAAGTTCGCCACGTCCTGCTGGTTCTTGTTGTGGCCGTTGACGATATACTTGTTGCGCCCGTTGACCACGATTTGCCGTGTTACCGAGATTTGTTTGTGGTTTTCGTAGCCGAGGGGGGATTTCTCGCGGTCGCTGTTGTTGAAAACGATTGTAACGGAGGCCTTTGTGATGCCGGCTTGGCCTCGTTTATAGACTAGGTCCTGTAGGTTGTTTGCACGGACCTGCGGTTGTATATCGCCAGCCTTGAGTTACGACGAGCAACGAGGCAACATCATGAACCTGACGACTCCACATACATACATGCGACAAGGTAGAGATCCCCAACACAAAACATATCGAGTCCAAGATATTTGACTTTCCGGACCCGTTGAGACCCGTGATTGCGTTGAACTCCGAGTCCCAGCCGCTGATGACCGTCCGCGTCGCGTAGGACTTGAAGCCCTCGATAATGAGCTCCTCGATGTACATGGCGATGGGGGTGCAAGACGGCCTGTTGTGATGCGGGTTTCTGAGAAGGAAGGAGGAAGCGGTCCACCGCCTGTGTCTACTGGGGTTGCAGCCTGGAAATTCAGTGGCCGGCAAGAGGCACCGTACGAGAACAGAAGCGAGGGGAGTGCCGGAGAGCGTGTGCGGTTCGGACACGCGCTCAGGGATCGACATCATGTCCGAACGTGCCGCCCTTCGCTCCAGGGCTGAATCTTTGCCACATCCGAGGCTCAGGCAGAAGGGTTTTTGCCCGAGGTGGGCCCGCTGTGGGAAGGCTGCAGGCGGAAGCGTCTCATTGGCAATTGCATGGGATTGATCATATGTACATTATCAATAAAGGAGAGGTCGGTGACGTTGATCCCGCTATAAGCCAGATGAGAAGCGAGCTTATAGAACCCTATTCCCCTCTCTAAAAACCTGTACCCAATTGATGCTTGGCAAGAGAAAGATGTCGCAAGACTCGACAGGCATGCATCGCTTTTGCTTAGACGCACACCTCCGGTTTAGGTTGCTCGTTACAAGGCCAAACATGTGTGAAATGTGACACCATCGGCTGCTGAAACAGCGGGATCCTTCACCTTTGCTCGCTCCCTTGGAATCCCGAGCGCGTTCCCAATCAGGCCGCTATTCGAAAGCAGCTTGATATTGTCGTGATTGATAAGGTGATTGGCGAGCGCCAAAGGGGTGAATCTTCCTTCCCACATGCATCCCACGGACACGGATGTTCACAACTGGTGTCCAGCTTGTTGATGTGACCCGCCACGATGTGTGTACGCCCATTCTGTCTCTTCATCTTCGTATTTGCGCGGCTGCATGTTTACAGGGATTGGCAATACTTGTGCTTGCAAAACTTTTTGGTGACATTAACTTGGTCGTCGTGCGCTTTCAATGCAAGATAAGGGCTCCCCTGTGATGACCCTCGAGCTCGTCGTGTAGGCGAACTCATACTTTTGGTGCTGCAAGACGGTCCCCACCCCGTGCGTCGAAATGACAGACACCGCCACTGATGCTCAGACGGGGATAAAGTTGAGTACAGCCCGCTCTACATGCTCGGTGCATGCGTGTCGTAATAACGGGAGTGGTCGGGCGTTTCCAGGCTGCCGTTTCGACCGCATCTACCGCCCCCTCTCGATATCCTTCTCGTTGGTGCCACCCAAGTCAATCATCATGGACGGAATCCGATACCACCAGTTCTTTCGCTCTACATCTGGCCTGCAGCGCTGGTTTTCGTGAAATAGTTGTCATAATCATCTTCCACCAAAACGAGCGTTCTGTGTCTTTTACGAGAGAAGAGGGTTGGGACACCAAGGGCCGGGATCTCTCTGTCCTGAACCTCTCCTTGCGCAGAAGCTTCACGTGTGATTGGGCGCATGACCGCGTTGAAGGCCGGAGAGGCGTATCGCTTCGGGCGAAGATGAAGCTCGTCGACTTTTTGAGTCTCTTGGAGTTTAAGAACGCGACGCGGTCAGAGGCAGAGGAGAGCGGCGATATAGGTTTTCACCGTCGAATACCAAGAATCGCGATGCTACGCGGTGCATTCGCCTCAGCTCGTCTGCTGTGAATAACACATGTTCGCCGCGGAGTAATTGAACCAGGCTGTCCTTCGCTTCCCCGCCGAGTGTGAGGTGAGCGAAAGAAAGCGCGTACGCAATCATAACTCTTGCTCTTGCGGAGCTTCGGCATGTAGGATCTCCCCCAATGTCTGGATCGGAACCAGATCGTCAGGTCCTAAGCGGTAGCATGGCAACGCATCGACGTCGATGTGCTTTTCCGTGCGTCGGAAGATGCAACTTGGCCAACCTTCTGCAGCCCGCAGACAGTTCGATAGACGACCACCTCTGGATGCGTGTACTCTGCGTGCTGAGATTCTCGCCCTGCCCAGGCTATGTGATCGGTTGTAATGTACCAGCGGGTTGAGCTGGTTCCCGGCTTTTTGTAAGGCGGAGACGATTGCAGCTTGTCCCAGATTAAAGGTTGCGGCTGGCTTTGACGCGTACATCGCTGCAAATTGTAAAGGTTTTGCTCAGTATGAAGGTTGGAAGATATAAAGAATGCAGCCTGCCCTCAGCTCACCTGGTGTGACACTCAGCCGAAGACCGGCTGTCTCAAATGTAGCGCAATTCGGGGCCCCATTTCGGACCGGTGCGTCGTTTGTTTGATGAGAAACGAGAAACCGACGCGTTTTGCTGCGTTGAGACTTGAAATCGACTTGAAATGCCTGTCGGAGTAGGGACCCAAGCTCTTTCTCTACAGGATTTTAGGAGTTTGTTGGATGATGGAAATTCACAGTACTGGATGTCAGTCTCCTCAGTCTCTCCACGAGGGGAAAGCAGGGGGGGCGGGCGATCATACAGGTCTATGTATCATATTAGAGGGGGGAGATGAGGATCTCTGCGGCCAAGGCCCAAGGGGGATGCAGTTGTGACAAACGCGGTGGTTTTCCCCTCCTGCGCGACCGGGGAGGCCCTCTCATAAGACTGGGTGGGCTCCTTCCCACGACATTCCCACGCCCTCCACCACGACATCCAGCTTCAACTACAACAACCACTCTATCATCATGAGAGGACTGCCAGACGACTCGCATCTTCCTCCTCAGAGGCGGAAACTCTCCTTGCTCTTGGTTCTCGTCGGTGTCGTTCTTGCTACCCTTCTCGCATTCCAGCTTCAACATAGCGGCCGCCACCGGGTAAGTCATTGTAATACTCCGCTCGTTCCGTCAGACCGTCACTCACTCACTTCCCCGTTATGCCTCACTCATTTTCCCTCCCAGTCACCGGGCGATGGGGCGGATGACGATGAAGCGCTGCACAAGGGGGTCTGCACCACACAGGAGTGCGTTGTGACAGCTGGGCGAATTCTGTCGGCCATAAACGCGTCCGCCGACCCGTGCGAGGTTAGTAACGGGCTTCTCACTGTTTACTCCCAACACGCGTCACTCATGCCTTTTTTGGAACCAACAGGACTTTTTCGAATACAGCTGCGGTGAGTCTTCTTATCGATGGACACTGTGATGATGGATGCAAGAAGCTCAATGTGAGAATTCTTAGGCGGCTGGCTCGCGGACAACCCGATTCCTGAGGACAAGTCGCAGGTCGGCACATTCGATAGCGTCAGCGAGAAGAATCTGGTAAGACATGGGATGGGATTGGACCATGTCCGCACGTTCCCAAATGATACATGATGCTAACCGCTTCGTGTGGGCTAGCGCCTTCTGAAAGACATCCTCGAAGGACCATATCCGGGCCTTGCAGAGTCTTCTGATGATAGTGACAAGCAGAACTTCGAAAAGGCCAAGGGATTCTACTCCAGCTGCAAGGTGAGCGGAAAATGTTAACCGAGTCTGATGTGCCTCGGATCACTTTGGCTAAAGAACAATGCGTAGGACGTGGAAGGCATCGAGAAGACCGGCATCGCTCCATTGGTCGACTTGGTAAAACGCGCCACTGCAAAGTTCCCTCTCGGCGACGGCGAGAAGCTAGATGCCGCAAAAGCCGTCGACGCCATCGTCCAAGCACATTCCGTCGGCGTCAATCCCCTTTTCGCAATGATCGTCGGTGCCGACGACAAAGAGCCGGATGTTAACGTCATCAATCTCTTCCAAGGGGGCCTCACTCTTCCTAGCAGAGAGTATTATGAGAAGAAGGATTTTACCGAGGTTTTACGGCAGACTGTTGAGAACGTTCTGAAGGTTGTTTTACCGGAAGCTGGGGGTGATTGGAAAGAGGATGGGGCGGCCCGGGCGGCGGCGGTGACGGACTTGGAAGCGTTTTTGGCCCGGTTCTCCTTGCCAAAGTACGTTGATATGCTCGGAGAGTCGGCGTTCATTCTCAGCTTGAAATTGCTTCGGAATACTCAGCCCCCCACCATTGCATCCCGCCAACAGCTCGGCATTCACAGACCCCAGCGCACTCTACAACGTCTTCACTCCCCACACCCTCGAACAAGCCAGCCCCAACATCCCCTGGGAAGCCTACCTCAAAGGGCGTTTCGCCTCCGACCGCTTCCCCGCCGACCTCATCAAAAAGGACACAACAAAACTTATCGTCCAAGCACCCACCTTCTACGGCAATCTCTCCACCCTCTTCACCACCACCAAACCACAGGCATTCGAGGATTATGTCATCTGGCACTATGTGCTGGATTACGCGGAACGGCTACCACAGCATGTGAGGTCGCTTTTCTTTCCGTTGTTTGAGAAGACGGGGCAGAGGGCGAGTGTTGAGCCGCCGAGGTGGAGGACGTGTTTGGCGCTGACGGATGCGGCGTTGGGGGAGTTGGCGGGCAAGTGGTTTGTCGAGAAGGCTTTTGGAGGGGACAGCAAGAAAGCCGCCTCACAAACGGTCGAAAACATCGAAAAAGCCTTCCTCAAACGTCTCCCCCACATCGAATGGCTAGACAAAGCAACCCGCGAGCGAGCCATCAAAAAGGTACCTTCACTTCCCCCACACCTCTTCTCCCCATCACCCGCCTCTAACCCTCCTCACCCCGCAGGTCAAATCCCTCGTCACTAAAATAGGCTACGCCGACATCATCCTGCAACCCGACGCCCTTGCCGAAAAGTACAAGCACGTGCCTATTGACCCAATTGGGTTCTTTCTGAATATCGTGCATGTGCAGGCGTGGGAGGTGCTGGATAATTTGCAGGATATTTTGAGGAAGGTGGATAAAGCGAGGTGGGGGATGACGCCTGCTACTGTTAATGCTGTAAGTTTTGTGGATGAGAGGGGAAATTTCGTTCTCACTGGTATCACTTGTCTGACGTTTGACCCTTTCTTCACAACAACAACAACAGTACTACAACCCAACGATGAACGAAGTAAGTGTCATCATCAATGTGCACAAAAACCCAAAGCTCCGGAAACACCTTCTCACCCCACCCTACCTCCCAAATCAGATCGTCTTCCCCGCCGGCATCCTCCAACCGCCCTTCTACCACCTCTCCTTCCCCGCCTACCTCTCCTACGGGGGCATCGGCGTCGTCGTCGGCCATGAATTGACACACGCGTTCGACAACATGGGCTCCCAGTATGATGAGAATGGGAAGCTGGAGGATTGGTGGAGTGAGGAGACGAAAAGGGAGTTTGAGAGGAAGGCAAAGTGTTTTGTGGAGGAGTATGAGAAGTGGGGGGTTACGGGCCCTGATGGGAGGGAGTACAAGATCGACGGGTATGTCTTCGTAAATTTGACCGTTAAGCTGGATACAACGCTCTATCAAAAGGTCTCTTTGTATTTACTCATCCTCTCATCCTCTCCCCTCACAGAACCCTAACCCTCGGCGAAAACCTCGCAGACAACGGCGGCCTCGCGCGCGCCTACGAAGCCTGGAAAGCCGACCTCCACTCACCCGGCGGCCATAAACGGAACCCCATGCTGCCCGGGTTTGGCCGCCATGCGACAAAGGACCAGTTATTCTACGTCGCTTTTGCTCAGGTAAACAAAGAACCATACCCCTTACATCACTCCTTCTCTTCTGACTGAATATGTGGGATTTTGATGTTTTGATTAGGTATGGTGCTCAAACCGAACCCCAGCAAACGCCCTCCGCCGCATCCTCACCGACCCGCACTCGCCCGCCAAGTACCGTGTCATTGGCGCCGTTGTCAATTCGAGGGAGTTCAGTGAGGCGTGGAGGTGTAAGAAGGGAAGCGGGATGAATCCGGGGAAGGGAGGGAGGTGTGAGATTTGGTAGTGGGGGGGACGGAGGGTGAGGGTTATTTTTTTTTTGGTAGAAGGTTGTTTGGGAGGGGATGCGGCTGCAAACGGAACCGGCAGTCTGTCCCGTCTTGGACGAGGAATGCACGGTCTCTATCTGTTCCGCGGGAGATGGAGTTTGCTGCACATACTGTATCTTTAGTGGTAGTATGGGTTTGATTGATTTGCGCTTTCGTGTACATAGTTGAGATTTGATTTTTGTAAGAAAGAAGGAGGAGATGCTTTGGGAAAACGATATGGATGGGGAGGTTCCGTCCTCTTCTGTCATCGTCCTCCCCTGAACAGGCGATTTCGAGGAATGCCGAGAGATCACCGATCAGTCGTTCATGGGGACTGTAACGTCGGAGTTCTGCTGCTGAGCTGCCTTCCCGTACCCTATGTCCCGTAGTATAGCCCCTATGTGTCTGGTGATCGCATTGCACGTCCCGCCTTCGTCCTGCTCCTTCGATTCCTTCTGGGTCCAAGAAAAGAATTCCTTCCGGTGTCTCCCTGGGTGTCTCCGCGGTCGGTTGCCAAGGTTGTTGCGACTTGTCCACGTTCCGCAAGGGATGACTCGCTTGACTTACCCACAGGCTCGCAGACACAAATCCCGTAGGGCATGCTCACCCACCTCCCCTTTTTTACACCGTTGCATTTCCAAAGTCGTCTGCTGCCAGATATATACAGTACTTTCGGCGGTTCAAAGCGCATAGGTCGCACGGCATACGCGTCCTTCTGTCTTGAGTTTTGAAGGCCAAGTTGGGAAACCGACAACCACAACCATAACGACAACGACGACAAGGTCGGCCAGTTTCGCCGTAACATCCGCTTCTTGAACTCGTACGTGGGAGATGCGCTGCGCAATGCATCAATTCAAAGGGTGGACGGACGGATGGTCTCAACCATGGAAGTCGACAGAGAAGGCGATCATATGTATCATCAGGGTATGAAATGTATTCATGTATGTACTATGAGGGGATATTACTGTACAAAAGGTATTTAAGTGAAGGCCGGCCCCGAAAGCGATCATCATCCCTATTTCCCTCTTTACTCGCCCAATGCGTTGGTACCGCAGCGGTCGACGAACAGACCGTCGAGTTTCTTGCTTGGGTTGCCCCACCAGTTGGGGAATGGGTATTCTGTGCCGGACACTCCAGCAACGGTGAAGGTTTGCACGAGCACTTGCACTTGGGTACCGGCATCGAGACCGGCACTGAGGAGGTAGTTGTGCTTGGAGAACCAGTCGTTGTGGTACTTGCGCACGTAGAACTGGGTAACGAAGGCGATGATCATCATCATCGTGGTTCCGGTGTTGACTCCGACACACAAGTTGCCTTTGGGAAGAGGGGAAAGTGATGGGTAAGTACATGAGTGCGGCTCTCAATCGAAAGTGGTCTTTGTTTGGAAACTCACCAATGAACCAGCAGATGATTCCGGTGTTGATGCGGTTCCATCCGTGGGTAGGGAACTTCTTGTGCAACAACCAGAATGGAACGGGAAGGGCGAAACCGATAAGGAAGGCATAGGCAATGGGGAAGTACAACTTGCCGGGCGCGTACAGGTAGCTGGTGAAAGCACCCCATGTCACGGACTCGGCGTTGAAACCCTGGGGACCTTGACCGGACCACAAGTTGGAACCCTCGGGATCCCTGAGGATCTCCATCTTGGTGTTGAGGATCTGAACCTGGATGGCGTAGTTGCAGATGCATCCGATGACGGCACCAGCGGTTTGCCAGTAGAACATTTGCTGGAAGGGGATGTTCAGATACGCGGAGAACTTGAGATCGGCCAACAGGGACCTGGCTTGCTTGGGCACGAGGTATCCGTATGTCGAGAAGTACATGTTGGCGACGGGGCTACCGGGGATCACGTAACCGGCGATCAACTGCACGAGACCTTGGGTGGGCACACCGAAACCGGTAGCGCCGAGGAAGATACCGATGACGATGGTCAACACGCATCCAATGAGGATAGCCAGGATGTACGACCACCACGACAAGCCGGTCTCGGTGGTGTACACGAGGACCAGGCCAGCAATGAAAGCGGCCGCGAAGAGAGTGAGGTACTGCCACAAGGGGACGTCTCCGTGCTCGCGCTTGACCTTGGCGACGTACTCGTCAGTGCCGCTGTGGGCCTTCATTGCGTGCCAGATGGTCTTGCCGTAGTACAGGGCGACGTGGGTGATGGATGCGGTGATACCCAAGTTGGCACCGACAAGGTAGAGAGCGTAAGTGGTGGTGTAGTACGGCGTGCCGACCTCAGCAACCTTCTCCTCGATCAAGTGGTAATTCTCATCGAGAATGAGCGATTGGTCGTACACAGTACCGTTGGCGTAGAAGAGATCTTGACCCATGAAGGGCAGGTTGCGACCGCCCCACAGGTTGCTGTAGAACCCACCCATGAAGATGAACCAGCAGATGATGAGACCGATGTACATGTTGAGCTGGGTCTCAAGGGGGTACCAGAGGGGCGAGTACACGGAGATGGCGTTCCAATCGAAGGACAGGGAGAGGAGACCGAGGCCTTCGTTGTTGGACGCACCACCGAAGAGACGCGTGACGAAGGAGCTGTTGGGCGCGGCGAGGCAGAACACGGAGACACCAGCAATCCAGGGCATGATGTACTGGGGGAACCATGTCCACACGAAGATGGCGCCAAACACCATCCAGAAGAAGCGGATACCCTTTCCGGCCGTGATGTCGGACTTGTGCAGGGTGCCGAAAAGCGCGACATCGGGGAGACGGTCGGGGTAGTAGAGGTACTTGGGCTCAACGAGGAAGGACCGGAAGAGACCGGCAAGACCGTACCCGAGCAATTGGGTGGAGAGCAGAAGGAGAAGGGATTGGCCGACCGGGACGGGAACGTCGTAGAACATGTGCATCGCAGCGAGCAGGTCGGTGGCGAAGGCACTGGAACTGGCGGTACGAGCCATGACGACAACCATAGCGTGTTCCTTCAACGAGAAGACACCGGGGTCGATCCAGTTGGGGGCCCCAGGGTACCTCCTCTTGACCGCCGCACCGAACCTCTCAAACGACTTGCCGAAGATGAAGGAAATGACGGCGACGAACATGGACGAGATGGTGAGCGTCTGCGGCTTGAACTGGAAGATCTGTCCCAGCACGGCACCGAACACGGACAGCGCGAGACCGAGGAAGATGGAACGCCATGTCACGATAGGCGCATTGGGGTGCTTGTCGATAGGGATGGTCTTCTTCAACATGGGCAGGAAACTCCACAGATCGTCCGGGTCGGACTCGCCGTGGTGCAGCGCCTCGAAATCGGCGGTGGCGCTCTCGCCATCGTGGAATCCCTTCTTCTCGTCAGTGGGATGCACTACCTCGGGCTGAGCGAGATCCGGATTCTCTTTCTTTTCGGCGTCGACACCTTCGTAGTTGACTTGCACTTCGAGGTTCTTCTTGACTTCCTCGAAGGTGGCGGGCTCTTGTGGCGGGTGCCCGTCAGGGTGGATGCGGTCGTCTTCGTGCACCATGGCTAAGAGGGCAGCAAACTAACGAAGTGTGATTTCGATGCGGTTGGAAGAGAAGATGAAACCGGAAATTGTCAAGCCGATCAACGGCTGGTTGGGCTGGTTGGGGAGGATGGATGCGTTGCACTGAGCGAGAGGAACCAGCCTCCGCAGACAATTGAGATGGTGCCGGGCGATGCGGATATCCAAACAAGAACGGCACTCGACCGCCCTCGCCTGTCCTTTTATACATGTCGACTGCCGGCCAGCGGCAGCAGATCATCCGCGGACAGAGGCGCTGGATCTCTAGAACTCTGGACGGGCAACAATAGTAAACGCGAGCAGATACCGGCGATACAGCCCCACCTCTGGAAAACCACCGCGGTGCTGGGATTCACCTGTGATCAGCACCACCGCCCCGCCGGGCGCACGGCGGGCGGACGGCGGTGGGCACTGGGCGCTATCCTACTTGGGCTGGGGGACAGTTCAACATGAAGCCTGGAGTGGGAGAACCAAATGTCGACGGTTCGTGCGATGTGACGATGAGGGGTATGTGTAGATGTCGAGTCATGTCGAAGTTCAACGATGTTCGCGGACCAACATTTGATTACGAACTTTTTTAAAGCACGCAATCTCTGGCTTTTTCATTAACGCCCATGCTGACTTGGTGAAGATATCGGGCCTTACGACCACCACTTTTCATACAAGTTGGAGGTTCGAATACGGCGCCCAACCTTCTTACCGTTATTCACGGCGATCCAGGGCCTCCAGGCCCCGGATCGTCCCCGAACGGGCGCCGCCGGTTACAACTTACTGCTACTGATAGTGCTTTCAATTGCAGGATCATGGATCGCTCGCTGGCTGTGCAGGATGGGTGTCAAAACCATCTATCTTGTGATAACTGGCGCTTGTGCGACGGGCTGCTGATAAAACCCCCTGATGAAGCCCCCCAGCCCGTCTGCGTTCAACGGCCACTCTTCGAAATCCGGTGCGCTCGCTGTTAATTTGTGGCAGTGGACTCAGATGGCCATTTGCCGCTGCTAAACTGCATCCCATCTTTACCCGCCAACGAACTTTCCAACAGGGATCTGTATGGTACGGCGTATGGACACAGCACATGCAGATAACCATTTTCACCATATTTATCCATCCGCTGGCCGATAGACGGTGCGACCATCTCCTCCACCATCTCCTTCGCCAGCGTGCCAGTGTACGGAGGCAGTGGGCATATGGATCCCATAAGATTGGGACAAAATATGCACACACCAAATCGCGCAAGAGCATACTCCGCGAGTGGTGAGACTGCCTGTGCAAGAGACTCCGCCGGGATTGCGTTATTTCGTCTGGATCGTGATTTATGTAGTAGCTCGTGATTGCAAAGCTCAAACCATACAAACTATATACGTGCCATGGTCACACTGGTGTGAATATGTAAATTGAGGTGCTATCTGAGCCTATCTCGCAGCCTCGCAGGCGCTGCTAAAGGCAGATCGCCGCGGCGGGTGGCCCGTTAACACTAGAAAGTCTACTACCTCCGCCGATTTCTTGTTGCTAGTCTTGCGCAGTTTTGTAAGTTCAGAACCTGTGATGGAAGCGACGGGTGTGGCCATACGTCGCCTCGTAGTAACATTGGGAGTAATCATAATAAGGTTCTAGTATGGCATGAGAAATTAGTTCACGCGATCTGCGGCTCATAACATGGATTGAGCCAGGGCCGCTTCATGCCGTCTCATGCATGCTCATTTCAGACCGAAGACGGTGAACGAGTTTCGAGGCGCATCGCGGACGGCAGAACGCCGCGGGGCAGATGAGGGTCATGTCTGCGTTGCATGATCCCAGCGCCCTGTGCGTTGTAGGAACGAAATCTGATGTTCTGGCAATGGGCGCTGGGCGCACGCTGTCAATCTTTTGACAGTTGTGCGCTGTCAATGATTGTCAGGGAAGAGATCGGGCTGCTTGATGATACAGTACGTCTGTATGCAGGGGCTGATGGGCTGCGATGGAGTACGCACGTTCGCAGGAACGACGAGGGGAATGCCATCATTTTCGACGTTTCTCCAGTCCCGAAGTTCCATGTAGATTCTATTTCCAGACTCTCACCCTTAAGGGAGTCATCATCGAACTTCTTTGTCAGAACAGTGCTTAGTGCTCGAACAGATACCCGACGGGCCACAGCGTTGACTGCTCGCATCTCGCAAACCATGGGTCTGAGTCCGCCAAACGCATCGGCTGCACCCTTGAACCCTATGGGCTGACCTGTCAATCAAAAGATTTCTTCAGCTGGGCGTTTTGGGCCTATGTACAGATGATCCATATTAAGTGGTGGCCTGCGACCCAGATATGTACACTGCAGGAGACAGCGCCTGACCGACTGACGTGATGAACGGCACCCAGCAACAGCGGCCATGTCTCTATCTACAGTAGGCACCGGTTACCACCACCACGATTTTCGTGCGCCTATGACGCCGACGTAAATGCCGTGATGGTCTTGTCATCAGAGATCCATTTGGTTCGTCATGTAAGAATCTTCCCTTCGTGACAGCGAGATACCTTACCAGTAATCGGCAGGTAGGCGAGCGTCCAGCGCTCCTTCCCCATTTGTTTGACGCCTCCTCGAAGACTTTATTGGACAGTCGCGGTGGTCGCAGCGTCTCGTCTATCAGTCTTTAGTTTCGTTACGGTTCGTCAACGGCTTCGAGCCAACTACGGACAACGTCCCCAGTTTCGAGCTCAATCTTAAGTCGTTCACCCATCATCGGCATTGGATTGACTAGCAAACTGATAGAATAATTACATACCACCGGACCCTGACGATGACCCCGCGAGAAGTGCGGCAATACGCGCGACTCACGCGTTCAAATTCTCACCGACGGCTTTTTGCGGCCGGCGTGCGGTCTTCCAGAAGGCCATGCTCAGACAGAGGAACAGCGACACTCACCCACCAACAACGAACGCAGCCATGGCAACTCAATACAACAGCAGCACAGGTATCTATCACCACTCGACAGGTTGCAGCTTGCTTCCCGTCCGTGCTCTGTCCACGTCGTATCTCAATTGAATCCACTTCGTCCCAGTCACACCTCTAACGACTTTTTTTTCTGACCACCATCCCCACCTACCCAGAAATGACCCAACAACCCCAGCCGGCAAACCCGTACGCAGATATCCCCGATATCCCACTCCAGAACGACCGAACGACCAACCCGTACTCCCACCAACCGCAACCGCAGCCGCAGCCGGAGCCGGAAAACCCGTACGCCAATATCCCCGATATCCCGCTCGCCCCAAAGTACCAGGCGCAACAGCGGCAGAATAATGAGGACGGTAGCGCCGGACTGTAAGTCGTGTTCTAACTGTTCTGCACTGTTCTTGGATTCATAGGGTTTGCTGAACTTGTGGCTTTCTGCTTTTTTCAGGTGCTTGGGAATTTGGTTGTGTTGTACCGGTCTGAGCGCCGCCGTTGACTCGACGTAGGCGGGTTGAAGGGGGTTGGAGACGGGGATATGATCATAGAGCGTACGGTGTGTGGTTCCTGGGCTCATGGCAAACCCAAGTAGCTACGTAGAGCTAGATTTCGAGTAGATGTGTCGTTTTGTTGAGTCTCTTTTACTCTTCGGCGTACTTTCATATACAGCTAGACATAGACATAGATATCTAAAGTGTATAATGTGACGGCGCCGGCGCCCACCTTTCCTCACATATATTCAGTGTCATTTACTCTTTTCTGTGGTATGAGTTTTTGGACTCATGGAGTCCGCCCTCTGGAGTGGTGTCGCGGGTATCAATGTTGTCGTTGTAACATGAACAGGGCAGTTGCAGTCCCACATGGAGTTGACATTGCTGAGGATCTTGCTGAAGGACGGAGACTTCTTTCGCGAACTAACCCGCAGCACACACCATAGCACTTCCGGCACAGGCGTAAGCGGGACCTAAAATGTCCATCAAACCAACGCCGTCCATGGAGGTTCAACGGATCCTCTCGTCAAAGCTCCACTCGCGGCCCCAGATACAGCACACCTACGACGACTACATGACCGAAAGCGCAAGCGTCACCATTCCCGTCCCATCCCCAGAGCCCCACTCATCGAAAGCCTATGTCCTCCACTACGAACGGGATCTGGACGACTATGCCGAAGCTTGGGAGGATAAAGTCTGGGTGGTTTGGAAGAATGTGGACGACGTTAGGGAGGAGATGTGGCAGTGGGACAAGGTGGGCGGGAGATGGGAGGAGACTGGAGGGGTGACATGGGACTGGATGAGGGGCCGCGAGGCTCCGGAAATGGAATGTATGGATGTGCCTGAGGAGATGGACAAGAAATCGTAGTTGTCATGGTTCACGTTTTCTTCTGTTCGTGCCTGGATCGCACGCTGGATCGCAGAGAGACAAAAACCCCCAGCCTTACTTTATACATCCACTTGCCCGAATAACACTGGAATCTGAACCAAGCGTGACCGCCTCAAGGGTAACAAAGAAAACGAGACGGAAGCGCGCAGTTCCAGAAGGCGCAGGAGCAGGGTCGCCACTGGGTCGTTGTTGCATTAGGGAGGATGCTGAATCAGGTCCATTGTGTCTTGCAAGCGTTTCGCACCCTTGCGGGAAGAGAGACGGGTCGTTCTTTTTTCCATCCAACTAATGGCAAGTAAGCCTGGCGATGACTCAGGGTGCATCCCCTCATATACATGCGAAAATTAACTTAAATACAAGGTTGGAGTTGGATATACAATCAATATATGATGGGGGTGCCCACTCCACGCACGTATGATACGGCCCATAGCAGCGGAACCTACTCTCTCACAGATGCATAGTTATTCGGGTACACAACCCGGGTATGATACGACCTCTCTTCTCTCTCCTATTTGGCCTTCAGAACAGCATTGGAAGCCTTGGGATTCGCCATCTTCCTCGGCGGATACTGACAATACCGGTCCTTGATGGACGTCACGCGGTACTTGCCCTCCTTATCCGTTCCCACCGTATACTAAAACAGAAAACCACATCAATCAATAAACAACCGCTGCCCATGGGGGTATGAGGGGGGAATGATCGAACTCACGGTGTTCTCCAGGATATTCTCAACAGTAAAAGTCTCGGCCTGCGTCCGCTCCCCGCGCGAAAGCGGCGTACGTTGGTATTTGAACGTGAAGGGGGGTATACCGACGAATTCGACGCGCATGATTGATTCATCGCCTGTTTTAAAAAAAATGCAACAGATATCAGCAAACATCCCATACCTCATAATCTGAAATCGCACACTTACCCTCCCGAATATCCTCAACAAGATCCTCCCCCCCATCCACAATCGCCCTCGGGAACGCCCTCACCTCATTCACCAACCCCCCCGGCGGTCGATAACAACACCCCACCGAATTACACACCCTCGTCACATTCACCGTCCCCGCCTCGCCCGCGTACAACAACACCACGGGGTCAGTCACCACCACCTCTTTCTGCGGTTTCCTGTTCCATGTGTAGGATAACGTGAACGGGCCCGTGCCTTCGAGGGAGTAGGAAAGCATGTCCCCAGCGCAAAGGGGCGCGAGGGGGTCCCAGTCGCGCGTGATTCGCGCAATGTCGGCGACTTGGATCGTCACCCGCGCACCCGGTTCCGTGCCGCGGTAGAGGGTATCGCACCCCGACGCGTCAGATACGGATCTGAGCGTGTAGGTGTATTTCCCCGTCGTCGTGGGTTTATCGGGGTGGTACGTAAACCGCGTAGTGTTCACCGTCAACCGGACCGTATCCCGCGGCTGCGACTCATGCTTCCGGTAAATCTCCACACTAAACGGCGGTTGTCCCGTCAACTCCACTTGCAGGCCCGTATCCGAGTCGTCGGAGATACACTGGAAGTTCTTCTCCGGTTTATCAAGGAACACTGCTTTGGGCCGCGCGTGGACCGTTTGCGCCACTTTGGGTGGGGAGCGGCTTAGGGGGTCGAATAAGCTTACACCGTCGGCGTAGTTGTCGTCCGAGACGGTTCGGAACTCGTACACGTGCTGGCCGGGGACATCGGTGATCAGGTTGATCCAGGCGAACTGCTTGGCGGCGCGGTCCTCGTAATCCCTAACCGTCTGCTCACTGCTTTTAGACATGCGGTGCGAGTGCAGGTGCCGGTAATTGATCTTGATCTTGAACTGCGGTTTGCCTTGCAAATGCACGCTCAGCTTGTCGGGTGTGCCTTCACATACGCCCCGGCGGATCCGCACCCCTTTTTCGTCTACGGTGTCGTACTCTGTCTCGGGGATCGTCAACGCGGGTTTGGGGATCGTGACGACTTCACACGTGTGCGGTTCCAGCACGCGTCCAGCGCAGAACCCATCCTGGAACGATTGTAGCTCATACGTCCCTGCCTGCGAGACGGTCAGGGCATCGATGGTTCGCGCGCCGGAAATGTGGAGGATCCGGTCGGGGTCTTCTCGTTTGCGGTAGGTGAGCTTGTAGTTCCCGTGGCCCGAGACGGCGACAGGGAGGGGGATGCTGGAGCCTTCGAGGAGGCGGAGGGGTTTAGGGCATTTGAATTGAACGCTGGGGCGCTGGCCGAGCACTTCTATTGACACGGGCTTGCTCTCTATTGGGGCCGTACATCCATTGCCATCGGTGAGGTCTACAAGTCAAACACAGCGAGCATGGTTCAGTTCAGTATCTGCCTAAACCTCATCAATTTGGATGGAGTTACAGAACTCACCAATCAGATCAACAAAATACGTCCCAGCAACCTCCAAAGCTGGCGTCTCAACACTTATCCTCTTCTCCCTAATATCGCGTCTCACATACTGTTCCTTATATGTGCCTCTCAGAATCGTGTACGTTAGGGAATACGGCGGCACGCCCGAAATGTGCAGGTCGAGAGTTGCCGTGTCGCCAAGGCAGCGGGTGGTTTCGCGTACGCTGATGGTTACGTCGGGGAGGGCGTGGACCACTTGGGTGAAGGGTTTGGAGTGGGTGTCTACGCCGTCTGTGTACACCGCGTCTCCCAGCTGGTGATTCACGAAGGGGGTGGATATTGAGAACGGAGCCTTTCGTTAACAACATGCTTAAGGTTCAAACGCTCGCTCACCTTAGGAAACGCATACTCGTACTCCCCCGGATCCTGGGGCTTGATTTTCAACGACTCCTGCGCCTTCGCAAACGTATACCTCAACGTCTGTTTCTCCCCGGTCCCCTTATTCCTCTGCTCGAAATGCACCCAAAACGGTGGCTCGCCCGTCATCGACACATTCACGTTCACGCCCGTCGCGCCAAAACACTCCCGCACGACTTCCGACACGCTGATGTTCATTGTCGGTGGGACGGCTTGCTGGACTTCGCAGGTGGTGGGCAGTTCGATGGTGCCGGGGCAGTATGCGTCCGCGATGGACAGAAGGGAGTAGTAGCCCGGTTTCTTGACGGAAAGGGCGAGATTGGGATTGTCGATGTCTTTGATGGTCAACCGCGCTTCATAATTCCCGGCAGCCAGATCCTCCTCCGATGCCGCACGCGCATATCGCAACTGCCACGGTTGCGTCCCCGTCAACCGAACCGGAAGCGGCGCGCTCTCGTCAGGGTACTCCGGTCGGATCCGCATAGCCTGGCAGTTCCCGAAATTCGCGCTAGGCAGAGGCCGCCCCTTCACCCACACCGTATCGCTGTACCGCTGCGCCTCGATAACGGTGTTTCCAGCAGCGGGTGGCATCTCCTGCCCCTTGTGGGATTTGTACCGGACCGTGTTGCCCCGGCCGTCGACGACTTGCAGGAGCATGAAGGTGTGGTCTAATGCGGCCTGCACGGAGACTTCGACGGGGATACGCACCTCGCGGGATTGCGCTTGGATGAGACGCTGTTCGATGTCGGCGGGGAGGGGATGTTTGGATTTCTTGAAGGGTTGGGCGTGCTGTGTGTCGGCTGTGCCTTCCACCTTCACTAAGGAGGAAGCGTCGCCGATCTTGCGCGTGTACCAGGCACTGAAAGGTGGTGTGCCCGTCAGAGCTATCGTAAAGTCATATGACTGATCCACACATCTGTCCACGTGTTCCACTCCGGGGTTGTCCTTCTTTTGTAGCAGGTTCCCGGACGGACAATGGACCACTTCCACAAGGTTCGGAGGAAGGACCTTCCCCTCGTCGCCTACCAGTTCCTTCACCGAGACCAGTCGGTAGATACCAGGCTTATCAGCCGGCAGCGAGACATTATCTATCACCGCCGACTTTGTGCCCGTTCTGGGATCGAAGCCTGTGGAGTTCGACTTGAACTCGATGTTCTCAAACAGCTTATGCGTCCCGTCCAACCCGTAGAACTCGTACGAGACCTTCCATGGCGGTGTGCCTTTGATTTTCAGTGGTATGTGAGCGGATCCTCCGAGACCTAGACAGAATGACGCGTTTCCGGGGTTGAGCTTTGCTAGTGTTGGTGGCAGGACGTGGACTAAATGTGAGCCGATGATGTGGCTGTCGTTGAACATCTCTGCGGAAGTGAAAAAAAGTGTGAATAACGCGCGGAACACAGCGATGGCGGAGTACATGGCTGCTAGCAAACACTGCTCACCTGATCCCGCCGGCAAATACTGCTTGTCTGCGAATCTTGGGCCATTGTCGCCACCAGGTATCCGACGGTGTCCGTATACTCTGTCGTACTACGAAAGTTACAATATGAGTAAGCTGGAGATCTCCAGTCAGACGATGTTGGACAAGGGAGTTGCAAAGCGAGGCGATGCATGGTCGGGCGATGGAGAATGACACCCTGCTCACTCCGCTCGCAACAAGGAGGTTGGGCTGCGGTGTGCGATGCTCGCTTTGCTCGCAAAAGATTTAAGCCTCGCCGATGCTCGCTAAGAGTCGAGTGACGGCCTCTTGCGCCTTTGGCGCAGTGGGAATCCGCTCCGCTCGCGAAGGGTCCGTTCCCAGGAGCAGATCAAAACCCTTGCGAGTACGAGGAACTCGCTCCCGTTCGCTGTTTCGCTTCTCTGTCGGTCTCTGAAAACGAGCCAACACCATCTCCACTACCGTCGGGCTCCAAGAGCGAACCAAGCCTCGCCAAACTCGAGATCCCTCATGCTATTCCTTCCGTTCATTCTCATCCTCCCCTCCGCAAACTCACATAAAATCCCGCGACGCCCAAGTCCAACATCCAGGATGCCAAAATGAGAATCGCAAAGACGGAAAACCGAAAGTCGAGCCTCGGAATCCTAACTCTCCATAGCGAGATAAAGTAGACAAGATCCAAAAGACACCAGAGCCCCGTCTGAAACTGTATTGGGTGTAGTTCGGTTGTCGCCAGGTTGTTCTGTACTCCATGGTAGTGTTGGGATGCCGCCCCACTCTGTGAGTTGAACCATACTTGTTGCAGCTTGAAGCCCCAGACGCCGACCAGGATGGCGATGGCGACCTGGCGTTGGGCTACAGCGTCCATGCTGGTAGGCGAGAAAGGACTGTCTCGTATATACAGCACTATGTACAGAGAGGGGGGGTCCTTGGCGTAGCGGGAGGGAAGGGATTGAAAGCCTCGCAGAAAGGGAATGTCCGACAAGAGGAGCGCGAGAACCCTTTCCCCTCTCCTCCTCATTCCCGTGGGAAACAACCAGGAACCACTCTCAGAGCGCAAGATCCTGACCATAAAACGACGTCGGCCAGATAGGCACTCGCCATCCTAGCCATGTGGTCCCCGCGGGTGTTGAGAGAGCGATATCCCTCGCTTACACAGTCACAGCTTTGGACTCTTTAGGGCTTCTGAGACCTGCTAGCAACGCGATCTTGGAACGATCAGCAACGGGCGGTGTGTACTACGATATCAGACGCTTGCAAAGAGCACTGTGCTGACCAGTCGTTGGAGTTCCCGAACAAACACGACTGGTCTAATCGGTACCGGTGGACGCTAGTGGAATATGCGCACGATGGTCGCATACAGGATTGCACGAAACTGGGCAGGTTCCAGGACTAGCCGCCTACATCCAGTAGCAAGGAAGCGGTCCAAGGTGTACGACTGGCGGGACTGTCTGCTGGGAGTGTTTCTCGTAGCGCAGTGTCGACACAAAGATCTGGAGGGCGAGCAAGTCAACGCTGCTCCTTCGCAACGGTGCAGATCATCATCCGGGAGGCAAAATCGGACACCCACGCTCGAAGTAGGTTCGCAGTTGGGGTTGACGAAGCTCATGTTCGCACACTCAGTCCATATGCTGAGGTATAACTCTTTATCCTTCATATCTTCACTGCCGACGGATTCGCGCAATGTTCGGGTTCACCCGTGACGCCGTGACGCCTGGATCTGCGTTCTTGGAACACAAGAGAGGCTTTGACAAGGACATCCTGCATCTGGGGGGTTGGTGTGTGGGGAAACAGATCCAATTCTGAAGAAAGTGGGGAGCGCGAAGGGTCTGGATGCGTTGGTTTCTGGGCAAGTTAACTGAGCACCAGATGACAGTCGGGTGAAGGATGGAATTCCTCATGATTGGATCAACCGACACAGACACCCGTCACCGCCTCTTCCGCATCGTTGAAGGGTGCGACGAGTCGGTCGACCGAGAGCTAGACCCATCAACATCCTCACCCACATCCTCACCCAACACCCAACATTCAACACCTAACCTCATCGAGCAAACATGGGACGACACGGAAACGGGGAAAGCAAAGGGACAGCGCCGGAGGAGTATGGTGCGGAGAAGGAGCTTCGGGGAGGCTATCGAAGCCTTCCTCCGAAAGTACCACACCGACCCCAACCTAAGCCGCACCGAATGGGTCCGCGGCAATGTCGTGTACGTCACCGAGGACGTTACTCAGCGACGCTTCGGTCGCATCGAATCGCAGATCTGCGGCCCTCTGAAAAATCAAGTGGGCGTGGCGGGGAGGATTGAGTTGACGTGTGGAGTCATATGCCTCGCATTCACTGGTCTAATCTCCGCCCATCCAACTTACGCTACCCGACGCCATGCTACATTCACCGCCCCGCGGAAGGCTTTTGATGGCGCGGAAAAAGGATCAGGAGAGGGTGGCTTTGATGGTAGGGTGCTCGACAGGACAGCGCTCTGAATGCCGATAGAGACATTCTCCGAAGCGTGTACTGCAACGAAATGTGCGTTGTACTGCGATTCCGTCATCCCCGCCTCGGCGAAACAGTTGAAGGCCCAGCCTCCAGTGAACCAAGCGGCGGCACAGCTTCCTGTTCCTCGCGGGCGGGGCTTTACATTATCTGGTCCGCGTGCCATCCCTTTCCTCTGTGGTCGACATACAAAGCATCACGAGATCTCGCCCTTGGATTACGTCGGAGTCGGTGGAGACCGCAGTGACCTTGTTAGCCAGCGTACATTCAACCGGGGAAAGATCGGAGGCCAGGGTTCCAATGCCTTCTCCACCATATGAAGTCAGTCACCAACCGCGCAAATCCACCAAAGGCATTTGTGCCTGCAATGTTGAAAATCGAGTCCTTTACCAGCTCCCTGCGATGGGATGGCACGCTATCAACACCATTCGCCAGATTGTCGGGAACGCCGATATCCCGGGGCTGATATTGATTGGCGAGACCAATGGTGCCATTTGCTTCACCCTCGCAGATGCGCTGTTGTTTTTCACGAAGCTGCTCAACTTGCGCCACCGAGATATTGATACCCTGAGCAATGACGAACGATATTAGTCCGGACGTCCACCGACGACGCGGTAGCATCCCAAGCCGAAGTACCGGACGCACTTTCTGAAGCAATACGAAAGCCCGCCAACCAGTCCCTCCAGCGTAGGGAACACGTATACCTGGATGCGTTCAGACTAGCCAACCACCTAGGACGTTCTCTACCGCATACACCTGAAGTCCACTCACGCTTCGGCTCAGCCTCGAAAATCAGGAGGTACCGCTTGGGATGGCGTTACGATCTGATGCGCGGCGCACTCCAGTGCTCTAAGGAGGATGGCGTTGCGGTTACATGCAGAAACGTCGTACTCAAACTCGAGAGATCGGTTGAAGATCATCTTTTCGCCAGCCACGTTAACCCAAGACGTGCGTGGCCATTCCGGGTGTTCCCAACGCGTCAGGGGTGCAAACTGGAGGTAGCCTGTGGGATAGATGATCGGTTCGACACTATTTCTTCTCACAGTCATCTCCCCAGACCCCATCACCGGACAGCCACGCTCGTCCCTTGAAGCGCGCCAAACCCGACGTTGACCAACGCAGATGTCGACGCGATGGTAGCTACGTTGCTAAAACCTCACGTTGCCGCAATCATCGGCCGGGGCCGAGCGATTCTCCGTGCAACTCCAATCATCGAGCGAGGGAGTCCCCACGCGAGTCAGCAAGATGAACATATAGGAACTCCGACACTCGGAAGTCATTGCTGCAACGGTGCTGAAAGATGGGCTGTGGCGTCGTAAATGCCAGTGATTCACGACGCCACGGCCCATTTTTCAAGCTGCCCGACGGCAACATGACACGAAGCGGTGCAGCAACTAGCCCACGGGGTATCTTCGAGAAAACGGACGCTAGTGCAGTTCAGGGAAAGAGAGACGCGATTTTGGATCGGTTGACGGCCTCATGGGCAATTTCGATGTAGTAGCTCTGCGAAGGAATGGAGCTAGTGCGGCAATCTCAACCTACAACGGAAAGAAGAGGCAGCGCCTATTCGAAATGCCGATCACTTTCCGCTACGCTTCCGGCGCAACTTCTCCCGTAGGAAGTGGAAGGTACAGATTCACCCATACCCGGCGGAATGGCGCTCACCTCTGTCGCGAACGAACATTCACTGTAGCACCATTGTCGGTGTCCTTGAAACCAGCCCAACCTTGCGGAACAAGTACCGACTGGTACCACAACTACGACACGGAGCAAATGGGGAGTTTTTTGCTTCATTGCAAACGTCTCGGGTTAAGCCGTCTGCCGCCTCCTTCACGAGCTGCACATTGCGAGCATGAAGGGCCGCGGGGAGGGGTGCCGGAGACGACTTCCATACTCCTGTCGTCGAGCTTCCGCCACCAACTTGACTGTACCGACAAAGAGTTGCCATGCCAGGCGCGTTTTTTTGGGTGAAGCTCACACGACGAAAGATCGAGGATAAAGGCCATTACGGCCCCGGTCTCGGTGGTGTGACATCGAAGGCAAGCGCAAACAGAATTGACACAGTTTCTGCAAGTAAATGAGTGTTGTGGACTGGTCGTTGAGATGGTCAACTCCGGATCGGGCGAGGTACTGCAGCCTGCATACTGGTCGGCCATCATCATGGCATGCGAAGAAGCGGGTTGTCTCCTCTGTGTCGATGGAGCAGAGGAGCTTGCCTCCCCCATACAGGTCAAACGCAACCGCTGGAAAGGAGCGCTCGCAGACCATAATGCAGCGCGGGAGTTGAGACGCGATGTCCCAATCGCCCCTGCTGCCCACTAGCACCCGATCATAAACTCTTCGACCACGAGATTTCGAGTACATGGACATCGCAGTAATGGATGACCACTACTGCCTTCGAACGAACGAATCAGGAGGCCAACGGCGTGGGCGGAAAAACGTGGCGATGCAGTTTAGTATTAACAATCGATTTCACGGCACGGTGTGGGAACGAGCCTTCGCAGGCGATATTGGAGTAATCGCGGGCGTCAAGAAGCTGTCCAAGCCCAGTGCGGTAGCTATGCCTGCTTCTGCTGCCTCCGTCACATCTCCCGATCAGGACCGTACAGCGGCCGCCGGGGCACATTTGCCAGCGGTGGCCCATCTGGACTTGGCATACCAAAGGTTGTGCATGCGATGGCATGGATCGCTGCCCCCAACGATTACATCGCCAACCGAAACACTATCAGCAAGCTCAGCGAATTCAACAAAGCTTTCCTACCAGCCAACGATTGCTGGTGTTCACACATTCGCAGATCTTCAAATCGCTTGTCGACTGCCATTACGATGTCGAGGACAACGGGTTTACAGCACAGTATCCCGGATGAGTTGTGTTCGCCAGAGACGTTGTCGGGCGTTGCTCGCCCGAAGTGCTTACGTTCCCTGGTTCCGGATCCAGAGCAACCCCCCATTGCCACAGAATGCGAACCTATATCGACATCTGCCTCGCTTTTTGCGATGTCGATATCTTGAACAGTTACTTCGCAGCATGACTACGAGCCGAATCAAGGGTTGGATTACTTTGGCCAACGCTGACCGCATATTGAAGGGGGCCGCACCGAGGGAGCTTGCGGACCTTCACAAGCGGATCGGTGCAGAAATTTTGAAAAGGCCCCAGATTTGCGAAAAGCAGAGAAACCTTCCATTTCAGAGCGCAAAATGGTAAGGCTCGTGAATGACGCTTGGAGAACTGAACCGACTCCATTGCACTGACGACCCGAAACTCCAAGAACCGCGGATTCAGCCCCGACGCCGAGGGATAGCCACCAGCTCCCAGCGCGGAAAAAACGCAGATACCCTGATCCGGGCCCCGCCAACCCGTCGCCGACCGGACGGTAAGCACGTTTCATTGATGCGGCGTCGGAAGGGCAGGAGAATATTGCCCCGAACGTTTACACGAGAACGATGCCGTTACGATCACGAAGATCAGCATGCCACCAAGTTTTTGCGAGCGACAGCAGGAGGGTGTTGATAATGACGATGACGATGGTGTGCTCGGCATTTCTTATGATACCGGCGACAACGACATGGCAGAGAACAAACTACCGTGTCTGGCTCAAAAGCGACGAGGCGGAGCACGTACCCGGCCGTATTATACCATATGTCGTGCTAACGGCACTATAACTAGCACCAGTGCCACCTGAAGAGCGCCGTACCTTGCTTCGATGGTCGTATGTTGTCATCAATCCCATAGTAGTGTTCAATCATGTAGGGACTCCTGCATGCGTGGGCATGCGCTGTTCGCTGAGCGCCGTCATATCAGATTTTTTTTCTCCAAATTCAGTCCTAACGATGATATTGCAAATTCAAAGCAACGCCGCTACGAGTCCCATTCCCGCGGACCCTTGATGATTGAAGACAAGAGCGAACTAGCTACGCCCTATTCATATAGAAACTACATAGGCCTGAGCTCCCGTCTATGCTACCAAATGTCCACGTCCCTTCTAAGCCCCTAAATCAAAAAGGCACCCACCAAGGCCGCAACCGGCGACCCCGTAACATGCGCCAAACTCAACCCAGACCCTCCCTCCTCCGCACACCCCGCAACATCCAGATGCGTGTACGACACCGGGTGTTCAGAGTCCAGACCGTGCTTGGAGATGCCGGACGCGATGGACATGAAGGCGGCGGGGAATTGGTGGCCACGGGAGGTCATCGTGGAGGCCTTATCGTTGGCTTGGACAACGTCTTCGGTTACCGCGCCGGGGGCGACGAACTGTGTGGGGTTTGAAATGGTGAGAAAGGCATTGCACAAACATTGTATATTATTGAGGACGTACCTGGTAGTCCTCACGACGTAGAGTAGAAAGCTCGAACGGATCGCCGAGGGCATGACCGGCTTTGAGCACGCGCTCGGCGATGCCTGCTTCACGGGCGGGTCCGTTATCCAGGGCAGCGCCGTAACCGACTCCATACGCGCGGATTACGTGGCCAGTGAGAGTGGCGACAGTCAAGCACCTTGAAGGCACAGACGCATATCGGGGCAGCAAGGCGCGTTCCCTAGCTGCACACAGCAGGTCCGTCATGACGTTACGTCCTTCGGCGTCGGTGTTTCCTTGCAGGGTGCGAACACCGGCCCGCGAAACGATGATCTCATCCGAGACGTATCCGTCCGATCCGCAGGAGTTGCGGACGAAGCCGAGATCCGCGATGACGTTGACGTGCTTGGGTTTGAGGAGGGAGACTGTCTTGAGGAAACCTGCGCATGCCGCGGCGCCGCATTTGTCGCGGGACATGCCCCGCATTACTCCGCCGGCTTTGATGTCGAGGCCTCCTGTGTCGTAGGTGACACCTTTCCCGATGAGGAACACATTCTCCTTTACGGCGGACGCATCAGAAGAGTGGTACTCCAGGTGTACCACGGCGGGGTGGTGTCTTTCTACTGGAAGAGAGGCCCGCGTGACGGCGTGCAAGAGAGGATACTCCTTCTTGATGACTTCGAGGTCCTTGGTAACAGTGACTGCGACATCGCTGCCCTTGAAAGCATCCTCAATGTAAGCAGCCGCGCGAAGAGGGGTCATCCTCTCCGGGTCAGCGCCTCCAATGTCCTTTGCCAACCGCCGCCCTTCTTCCACAGCAGTCGCGAACCGGACGGCCCAGTCCACAACCTCTTCCGAGTCTGGTTCGGTTCTTTCGACCGCCACACCGATCTCCTCAATGGTTTCCGCCGGCTTTCCCAAAGCAGAAAAGTGCTCCCGGGCTTGCAACGGCACGTAGGCCTCGGCCAGCAAGCCTAGGAGAGTCACCTCAATGTATTTGGAGTAGTCTCGCTTGGCACGTGTCACTTGGGTGCTTCCCGTGAGAACATCCTGGAAAGGGTCCGCGAGGAGGACAAGGGGCTTGGATAAACCGGCGGCGCGACATCTCGCCAGACCCTTGCGTGCAGCGTCTGTGAAGCGTCGTACATCGTCCTATTTGAACCCAGGTTGTGAGCGATGCGAGTTATGTCGGCCGAGTGATCTACGGCATATGAGGGAAGTAGAATGACATACCACATCGCCGAGTAGAGACCCGGTAGGGCTCAGCACAAGTCGGTTGCCGGGAGCCTCGGAGGTCGGAATTACAACAACTGACGAGGCGGCGGAAGCGTCCACCTGTGTGAATGACTGGATGGCGGAGGCGAGTGGTGACAATGCCGCCGACTTTGTGCCCGGAAGGAGCGAGGAGAGCTTCGAGTAGATGACAAGAAGACCGTCGTAAGAGGACTGCTTGGAGTTCAAAGCTGCTCCTAGCTTGGAGGAGAGGACAGGGACGAGGCGTGGAATACCCATCGTGATCGTGTGAGTGGCTCTGGGAAAGGGTGCGGTTTGAGCTTCGAGTGAGGGGGACTTGCGCCTTGTTCCAAGACAACACGACAGGCACCACGGCATCCTTTAAACGAGGGAGCCAGACAGGGAGACGGGGACGTACAGTACCTGAGAGAAACTCTTGCAAGCGGGCGCGGAACCTGGGGAGCCGATGGGGATCTGGATGGGGATGCTGGGCGTGGGAATGCACAGGCCAAGCAGGTCACAAAGGAAGTCAGCGGGATGTTCGCCCGGCCAAACGCGCGCGTCCATGACAGTCCATGCAACGCTCGCCAATGCGCCGTGGGAACCTCTAGGCAGCTACGTACAGTACAGTAAGTGCAGGACAAGCCATATCATACTGTACATATACAGTAGGGAAGCGATATAGAGGACAGGATTGTCTCGCCTCACGAAAACGGAGCTATGGCCGTGGACGTCGTCGACAGTCCCGTCGCTCCTATGCGTCCTAGCGACGACGAAGACCAGAAAACGGCAAAGACGATTCCTATGCCCGTCCGTCAGACTCCCCTGTACGAGAACTGCAGCGTCTTCTCGCCGGAGGGAACTCTCATGTTTCGCTGTTCAAGGTGCGTTTGGGTCACCCAGGGGTATCGTTCTGTGTATGTGTAGCAGTAGAAGCTCCGATATTGAACTTATTCTCCATATCTCCTGTGCTATAGAAAGAAGATAGATTGGTACCTGTCGAGAAATCTCGCCGTCCCAATGAAAGAAGGCGACGATGAACAGGTGGACCCGTCTGCTCCACATGCCATCCAGCTGACCTTCACCCCGCGAGGCAATGGACGGAATAGCGCTGGAGAGGAGTACTATTTGGAAGAGAGGCAAAATATATGTGTCGGCTGCGGGTTCACTGATGGGCTGACATCCCATCACATTGGTAAGATAAAAACATATTCGTGCCGATATACCTGACGGACTGTAGCTAATCGGTCTGCTCCATGATAGTGCCCTATCAATACCGCAAATTTATGCCAGACTCCCTAAAATCCCACGCATCGCACGACGTCGTCCTCCTGTGCGTAAACTGCCACGATGCCTACGAATTGCACGCAGTAAAACTCAAAAAAACCATCGCCAAAAAGTACAACATCCCCTTAGAGGGCCGCGGACACATAGTGTACCATGAGCACCGAAAAGTGCATTCCGCCGCCAATGCCATCTTGCACTCCCGCCGTACACAGCATCCGGACAAAAACCGAATACCGGAGCAACGACTACAGGAGTTACACGCCATCCTACGCGACTTTTTCACCTTCCCATCAGACCACCCCATATCGTCCGCAGACCTCGAAGCAGCCCTCGAGCTCCCACAATACGGCCGCGCACCCGATTTCGTGGAGCATGGGGAGGTTGTCGTGGGCTGTATGAGTGAGAAGGAGTTGGAGACGTTTATCAGGGATTGGCGAAGGCATTTTCAGACGTATGCGAGGCCGGGATTTTTGAGTGAGGCGTGGAGGGTGGAGAATCCGGTCAGGAATCGTTGAGCGAGGAGCCAGATTCCGCCGGACCCCTGGTCCTGCTGCGGTCCCCCGTTCACCGCACAAGACTTCCAACTCGCTATCGGCACCCCTCTCTCTGCGGCGACCCGGGACACGCGATCATCAGCGTGCAGACGGCGGCTGCTGTTCCTGTGGTGGTTGCTTCAAAAACCCACCCACATGCCAGATGTATCCAGCCGGCATCGGCGTCCGCATGATCGATTATGGCCGGCCGCTCCCGCGAAACGGTTGGCCTATCGTTTAGCGCCGCAGACGATCACCAGCGGTTCTCGCCTAGCAGAGGCCATAATACGGAGTGCAGGCAAACCACCGTCACAGGGACAGTGTGTGGGCGTAGTTCATGATGACGTGCGATTGTTTGCGTTCGTTTGGTGGAAGTCGCCATATCCACCGCGTACCCGGCGTTCTAGGCGCGTCGTGCGTGGAGCAAGCCTTCACAGTCCTGTGATACTGCAATGGCACTTCCGGACACTCAGAAGGACAGAACCAGGACAGAACACTCGAACGCCCGTCCAAGCCATTCGAAAACACCCCCACAGTGCGGCCTCACTTTACATAGACATACGATAGTCCCCGTACATTAGCTAAAGATTCTTACAACGGCCCCATTCACATGATCCACAAATAGGATTGGGAAAGGTGTGGGGATTTGGGAGACCAAAAAACCAAAATGCAAGCAAAAACTTCCAAACGTACACATCCAATCTCACACCAACGCAGTCGGATCATGCGTCGGGTAAATATCCGACCTGCTTCGGCCGTACGGCGCCATGCCCGCCGGGTTGGGTGGCTGGTAGGTCGGGCCGCGGGACGTGTTGTTGTACGTGGGTCGGTTGGGTTGGTTGTTATACTAGGGGATGTGAGTTTGAGATTCAGTATCCCAAAGAAGGAGAGAAAATGAGAGAACGAAAGGGCGACGATTGAACGTACCCCGCTACTCCCACCGTACTGCTCATTCGCAGGTGCCGTCAACCCAAAAGCGTCAGCGAGCTTGGACCCGAACGAATCAACTTTGGACAGGATGGTGGCCGCGAGGCCTTGGGTTCCAGCCTAGAAGTCGGTCAAACCATAGATGTGAACATTCTATTCCAAACAAACAACACTCCGCCCGAAAAATCACGACGATGTGTTTTCGTACCTGCGGCCCATCATCCTCCCCCAGATAATACCGATACGTCCCCGAATTCACACTCACTGGCGCTGGCCGCATCGTCGTCGACGCCCACTGCTGGCCATACTGCTGCTGCTGTTGTTGTTGCTGCTGTTGCAGTTGCCGAGGCTCAATGAACGACTGCGCGTGCGTCAACGCCCCCGGTTGCTGTTGATACAATGAGTCTTTACGGGGTGAGATGTGCGCGAAGGATGCGGCGCGTTGTACATTGGGGAAAGTTTGCTGTGGTGGGGTGGACAAGGAGAGGGAGTGGGATGATTGTTGTTGGGACGTTTGGGTGGGTGGAGGTGGGATGTGCTGTTGTTGCTGTTGTTGTAGTGGCTGCTGCTGCTGCTGATGTTGAGCATAGGAATACCCTCGCGACATGGGCGCCGTCGGGGTGGTTCCAGCCAACGGTGCCGGCGGGCCGCCCCACGCGATCTGGCCGACAGGGAGGCGGGATGAGTTGCGGCGTAAGCGGGGTGGGGCTGCTGCGTTTGCCTGCTGCTGCTGCTGCTGGGGTGCGCTCCATCCACCGCTTAGACCGCCGACCTGCTGCTGCGCCTGCTGCTGGGATGATTGAAACGGCGCATACCCTGGATTCATCCCCGAGGTCTGCCCCATCCCACTCATGTCAAGATTGAAACTAGACGGCTGGGCCGACCAAGCGTCCGCTGCTGGCGCGGCGTACTGTCTGTTCTTGGTTGCGGCGTTGTATTGCATCGGTCCCGCGCCTGGGTAAACACCAGCGTACCCTCCATAACCTCCCCCCTCGACTTTCTCTACTTTGCGATCGTAGGGCGATGGGGAAGCTGCTGCCATGCCTGTATGGAGTGTCTGCTGCTGATGTTGCTGTTGGGGGTAGGCCTGCTGGGAGGGATATCCATGCTGCGCACCGTTCGAAGTGTAGAGGGCGGGATAGGGCTGTGGGTGCGGCTGGGAGTGGGAGAGTGGGAGGGAGGCCTCTTCGCGGAGGGTGGTGGGCTCGGCGGCGAGGGCAGAGAATTGGTGGGCGGCGTACATCGCGGATGTATCACCTGAGGGATTGAATACTCTGGGTTAACTGTTTCGTGGGCGGAGTTTCTCCCGAGATGTAGTGGAGTGATGTGAAAATGCTCTGAGAGACGGTGTGTTCTGGCTCGCAAATGTATAGGAAGGATATCAACGAGGGTTTCCGGGCAAAAACGAGAGCACAGCGGTGGACAGCACCTTCGGCATCAACACATCCGAAGTTATGACAGCTTGACCAAACACTGGCTGAGTTCGAAAAATGTAAACATCAGCGGAGCGCCGGCAGCAGCGGAAACAACGCGTTGCGGGCGATTACCTAAGTGAGCAGACTTCACAACGCGCACGTTCTCCTACGGCTGGCGGCAGGCTATGCTACGCCAAATTCAGGCCGCAGGATCAGGTATGTACTTTGTGAGCCAATGTAGCGTCCGCATCGGTTGAAATGTAGACGACCCTGGTGCAATGTACCCCATTCAAGGTCCGGGCTTAGACCTGAGCTTTAAGTATAACCACTCTCGGAACTCTCCATCGAGTTGAAATGCTGCCGATTTCCAGCGTCTCAGGAAACCAGGTAGGCGGGAGGCACATTTCTGGATTGGGCACCGGAGCAGCACTGGATATAATTGAATTAGAAGTGCTCTTGCTTGCCTGTGATATGTGGCAGTAGTTTGCCTTGAAAGTTGGGTTCCGGACTGCACAAGGACCTGTCCCTCTGCGGCTGGGAATTCATAATCATATATATGCGAGGTGACTGTGCTTGCCAGAAACTTGAGAGCATTTTGGATTGCTGCACGACGCAATGGTGACCTGCCAGAGGTAGCGGAGGCCCACCGAAAATTGATGCTCTTAGGGCACATCGAGTTCATAACCACTCGAAGGCTCTCCCGAACAGCGGCCGTCGACAGCTGAATGCATGTTCCACTCCAGTATCCACCACGCAAGGGTCGGAAATGGGCCCAGAACCGCAAGCCCCCCTCGTCTTGTGAGCGATTCAAGTGAGCGAGAAGAAACCGGCATAGTCTCTTCACCGGAGAGAGAGCATCCATTCTTTCCTATTCTAGATAATGAATTATGTATGATGGGAACTCTATTAGGTGCTGGTATCTGCTCGGCCTAGATCTCGAATATAGTGAGTGTAGAGTGGAACTGACGAGGCCCACTAACTTAGTGGCCTATTCGTTATATAAAGCAGTGGTATGGTATCAAAGCTATTTACGGGCCGCTCAAAAGCAAAGTCCACGTCCGTTGGAGGACGCCGGACAGAGTGCTGTGGGCGAGTTTCCGATTTCGTAAGTGTGGTCAGGGTTCTTCACGCGGCCGCTGTCGTCGCGGAGGCCGACTCCGAAGCACTCTCCTCACTCGCGGCAGCCCCAGACCCAAACGTCCAAATCTTATCGCCCCACTTGAAGAAGCTCGTCTGGGGCTCGTCCTTGGAGCGGCTGGGCGACTGTGGGGACGGGGAGCGTCTGCGTTCACTGCGTTCGTGCTCAGTGGGAGCTCCCCATCTCCATACGCGTTCGGTGGATGATTGGAGCTGCGTTTCCGGTTGGTGCTCCTCGGGTTGGGCTGGGATGGTGGCCGTGGTGGGCTCGGCGGGGTTGACGGCGGGGGTGCTTGTGTTGGCGCCCATGGTACAGTAGAGTGAGGTGGATAGGAGGTGCGGGACGGTTGGGGGATGGGAATGCGGGGGGGAGTTGACGACGAATTGACGACGAAGTTGCAGACTGGACGAGTCTTCAAAGGTTCATCAACGACCCACACAGGGTGTCCTCATCACAGGAGCCGTTCGCTGAACGGACGCCGATGGACGCCCCACAAGTCCACGACTCGTCGGAGAACTTCAAATTCAATTTGTACAAACACTTCTCAAGTTGGACAAACGCCCAACATGTGTGGGCCGCACGCAGCAGGGGCCGTCGTCTTTCGGCACCGCCGGCTACCGCCGTCTAACTCGACATCGGCAGCCGGTATGGCCACATCGCCCAGCTAAACCGGACAGCGGGAACACCGTTGTTCGGCCCAGGCCCTCTCGGGATGTATGTACCCAACAACCTGAGAGCTGGGATCGGCAGCTCCGACGGCATTTGACAGCGGCTTCCTATTGCATTTGAACGTCCACCTTGCCACTTTCAAGTTGTGTATTCGAAAAAAAAGACGTGGCCCAAGCATGGGACTTAGTTCAAGAAGCAGCTCCAGCCAACAAGTATATTGATCGATAATCTCAGGCCTAATAACAAACGGCCAGTAGTTCTCCGCATAAATGTTCTCTACGGCGCTTTCAGCACCTGGTATATGACATCTGCCATTGTCCTCCGGCTGCAAAGGTCTGAAAGCAAAAATCTTACAATCTACGTAACACCCGCACAGATTTGCCACACCTATCCCTGCGTCTCTGCAAATGAGAAATTCCAGCATGGTCATGTAAAACAATCTAACCCGCGAGTCCGTTTGGAGCGGTTAAAGGCTCAAGCTCCCAAGTGCGGCTGAAATCTTGCCTTCCTCGACCGCTTCAACATAGATCCCGTCCCGTCCCAGCTCCTTGCCGATCTGCCGCTCTTTCGTTAGCGCTGACTGGTTCCATGCTCGCAATAACTACCAAAACTAGCGCAACCTACCTTGCTTTCAAGTGTCAACAACGCCCTCTTCACACTCGCTGCCGTCTCCTCGCCCACCTCTTCCGCCCGCTCGGCTACCGCCCCTCTCCTGATTGCGAGCTTTTTGAAGGCATGGGCCATCGCGTACGATTTCACCAGCTCCCTTAAGAGCACAAGGAAAAGCTCCGGATCAGAGCCGCGGTCTTGGTGTGACAGCGCGTTTGACATTGCAAGAAGCAAAGCCAGGAGCGTGCCGACTTTGCGGTGCCAGGTGCGAGACGGAGGGAAGGACAGGTGATAATTCGACAGAGGACGGCAGAGTTCTCTCCAATCTGTCACACACAAAGCATCCATCATTAGAAAGACCGACTCCTCGAGTTAAACAGAAAGGGCCGACATCTGGAGACGCTTTCAAAAAAGCGATGCCGGAAGCGAATTCGACAACAAAGCATTGGGGACGGCAAAGAGAACCAACCTGTAACTAGCACCTCCGCTTCTTCTCCTTCTTCCCCTTCGCTTTCTGAGTCCCTCCAAGTTTCCTCCGGCCGCGGTCTACGAGCGCCCGCGCCCGCTCCGGTATCGTCAGCGCCATCTTCCGCTTCAACTACAATCTCCCCAAAAATCGCAGCCAGTTCCACGAGCAGACCAGCACAAAACCTGTACAGGCTTCTGACGGTTCCTTTCCCGCACTCTTCTCGCAGCCCGAGCTCGACTGCGCGGTGGAAGGTTCTCTGCTCGATTTCGTTGATCCGGTCCTGTGGAGTCTGACGCGCCTTGGAGTTCGGTCCGGGAGCAACAAAGCCCGGCGTTTTAGCAGCTGCAAGACATTCGAGAATCGGTTCCGGACCAAGATGAGCAAAGAGGTAGCACAGCATGGGCAAAGTGAGCCGGTCGGCCTCCGCGACATGTTCCTCCCCGTCTGAGGAGGGGGGCGCATCTGTTTTGGTGTATTCGAGCCACAAAGGGAGTAGAACCTGAGCCTTCTTTCCACCAACGCCCACATTGCAAGTAGTCACGCAGAAGCGCGCCGCAATAATAGGGTTTTCCTTGTACCAGTGACGATGATGTCAGCAAACCACTCTGATGCTCGAACAGCCGTGGGCAATGCCTACCATAGTTTCCAAGCTCTTGCGATACAGCTTCTCTGCGCTTAAGGTTTTCCAGTCAACCGGTTCGCCTTCCTCATCCTCCTCGTCGTCTTCGCCGGGGCGGTTATCGGCCTCAGGCATATCCAGGGGTTCCCCACTTCCGGATCCTTCGCCTTCGTCGAACAGCGGATCCGCTAGCAAGTCATTCAAAACGGTGATCTCACTGCTTGATTCGTCCGCCCAGCGCGCGATTCCACACTGCCGAATTGCAGTGCTGACCAGGTATGTGTATTCTGCCTCGCAATCGGCAAGCAGAATGAATGCAGCAAGACTGGCCACAGTGGAGGTGCGTCTGTCACGCTTGGTGATCCCGCGGTAATACTGTATTTTGAGGGTGCGGATTTCGGCTGATTGCGGCCTCAATTAGCCAGTTGTTTCTCCAGGTTCATTAATGATGCCTTTCCGGCATAGAAAAGCAAGAGCCACAGAAAGCTCCATAGAATTCAAAAAGACTCACATCGCTCAATGAGTCTCGCTGCACCAGCTCGCCGTAGCAGGATTCCTACCAAGCACCTGAAAGCCCTTCCTATGATAGTCGGAACATGTCAGAGGCCTGTATCAGCTCCGTTAAGAAAGTATGCAGAAACGATAAGAGATGCGAACCGGCAGCACGCTTGGTGATAGGAGCATCAGTCGGGTGACGGAATTCGCAGCAAATATCTAGACAAGGTTTCCGTTCACATGAAGGCATGGTCGTGGTCCTACGTTGTATGCTGAGTTTTAGTTTTGACTGACTTGACAGGCTAACCGTGCAGCTCCAGCAGGTATTAACAGTGTGGAAAAAGGGACACTTTTACCTATTACGCCGGTCGGGCTGCGCCTGCACGACTTTGATATGCTTAAGAAGAAGCTTGTGCTCCAAGTCTCCATGCCGGCGGAGAGCTACAAGATCCCACTTGGCAAGATTGGCAAGGTCCAGTCTGCGTCCACACATAGATGCATTAGGCGAGCTTGATTCACCGACTACAAGGTAGAGAATGGTAATACCCATTTCTCCTCTGGGCGGCCATCTTGATCATATGTTCAACCTCCCTGCGCTGTGCCTCAGAAAGGCCAGCTATGCGGAACCGGTTGATCACTTCGTCCCGGTGAGCTGCAGTAGATGTTACGTAGAGTAAACCAGCAAAGTGAGCGGTTTGCTCATAGTCAAAAAGGAGCTCAGTTATACTTACGTTTCAACAGTAGTTTCATGCGAATAGCCTCTTTCCAGAACATCCTATCTATGGTATCAATCCAGGGGGCGAACGGTGCTCTAGGCTCTTCCACGCGAGGGGGAGGGGGAGGATGGGCCCGACTGTTGTGCGAAGCGACGGGGTATACATTGTTTGGGTATGAAGTTGCGTAATGTTGTTGACACTGCGGATTCTGGGCGTCAGGGCTTCTCCACGAAGATGCTACGGAGGAGCTATATGGCTGCTGTTGTCTCCCCGGTGGCACATATTTTCTGTTGTCTTTGTCTTGCGGAGGGTTCTGACTGTTTCCCCACGCTGGTTCCGAACCGTGCTGGGGAGGAGGACCGCGGTTACTGGCATCTTGAAGAACATTTGCTGCTGCCGGGCGGTGTCGTTTTGCCGCCGCGATTGCGAAACTGAATGGCTTCGGAATGTTTTCTCTTTGGAGGTCTTCAGCCATCTTCCTCGCAAATCGGTGCTTTGGACCTTGGACAGACCGAGCTGTGACGGAAGCACGGACGGGACGGCCCAAGGGATCCAACGCGGAAGGGTTCGGACATTTCAGAGTCACGTGACTTTATGAAGTCTGACACACAAGGACCCGCACGCGAAGGCAGTGATGTGTTGGCGCTGATGCTCAAGCCAGGGCGTGACTATTCACACTGCCAAGATCCCTTCGCAATTGCCAAACTTTTTGCCACAGAATGCAATGGCACTGTTGCCCTCTGCTACTAGAAGAGCTATGACCACTGCCGGCACGGCCAGGCGTGGTATTCACTGCCGGCACGGCCAGGCGTGATTGTTAGCTTGACTTTTGGTGGGGGTGGCATGGGGCCATTGCTTTTTGGAAATGGCAGAAGGTTTCGCCGCACCGCACGCGAAGGCAGTGATGTGTTGGGGCTGATGCTCAATCAAGCTCAATCCAGTCATTTCTGGGACACATGGCAAGAACTGCAAAGGGCCTAGGCATATTGATATAAGTTCTGTAGTCTATATAGGTCTATCTACATATATCGTTGAATCAACATGCAACAGCGAACGCCTTCAAGGGCACTATGGGCAGAGATCTAAGGCTGCACACACCAAGATCTCACCGCACACTGGTCCTTCTTCCAGAACGTCTGCACGCCCGCGGTAGCTTTCCCAAACCCAGCGTCAGTGATCCCATACCACAGCTGGGCAATCTTGCAATTACATTTCGCCGAGTTCCATTTCTCCAGCTGCCCCGGGACCAGCGTGCCGACACTGTACCACGGGTCGACCTTGAAGTAGCCCCACCCGACGAAACAGTCGCAGTTGAGGTCCCACCAGCGCTTCTTGATGTCCGGCAGCGCCGCGGCGGTCCCGAACGTGCCGAAGGGGGTGATGCCGTGGGACTGGGCGAGGGATTTGCAGGTGTTGAAGACTTGGTTGATGGTTTGGGCGACGCGGGGAGGGGCGCATGTGGGAGTGGGAGGGGGCTGGGTTACGGAGGACGTTGTGGTGGCGGTGGTGGTTCTTGTGGGGGTCGTGGAGGTACGGGTAGACGTAGAGGTACGGGTAGAGGTGGTGGGGGTAGAGGTGATGGTGGAGGTGGAAGTTGAGTGTGAGGTGGTGGTGGTGGTGGCGGTGGTGGTGGAAGTGCTTGTGTTCACGGGAGCAGCAGGCTCCGTCAGAAACCGCACCATGGGCATCTTCGCGTCGCTGATATCTGGCTGCGTACCATCCAAGCAGAAACAGGTGGCATACCCCTCCGGGACACCCAAGCCATTCTTGCCATCGTTGATGGCACCGGGGGTGTCAGAGGAGCAGGCGTTTGAACAAAGGCGGGACGCGTAGCGGTAGCCCGATTTGTAAGGGCCTAAACCAGGGCCATGGGGGATAACTCCACTGTTGAAGTTCGTAAGGTTGTAGTAATTGAGGGGTATGACACCGGGAATGGATTTGATAGCGAAGACGGTATGCAATTTCCGGTCCAATGAGATCTCGCATGAACCGAGGAGAACATCAGCGCAGGCAACGTCAGTCGATGCAAGACGGAGGCCGAGGGTAGGACTCAAGGTACGATAGGCAGTCTCGCAGGCAGCTGTGAAGCGGTCCCGGATACCCTGCAATTCCAGTGAGTCGCAGGCCGGGCGCGGAGGCTGGGAGGGAGGCGGAGGCGTGTCGATCAACATTGGTGCCAACGGCAACGCGGGGGTGCCCGAGAGAGGCTGGGAGCCGTTAGGACAAAAGCAGTGGGCAAAGCGGCCGCCGTAGGCCATGCCCGAGTGGCCGTCGTCGAGAGTGTTGATACTGTCTGTGCCACACTCCGCACGGCAGCTTTCTAGTGCGAATTGGTGGCCGCGTTCGTACGTTTCCCATGGTTTGGCGGAGGCGTTGTAGTACTGGGCCAGATCGTAGGACTTCAGAGGCTGGACTTCCGGAAAAGAGGTAATCCTGATTGATTGCCCATTGACGGAACAATCACCGAGATATCTACCCCCACAGTAGACCTCGCCGGAGGAGCTGGTGATGGGGCCCTTCAACAAGCGAGCGCCAGCGTCTTTGCAGACCTTTGCAAAGCGACCTCGGAGCTGGTCAAAGGCTAGAGATTCGCAGCGATCGTCAAGGCGCTCGGGAAGCGGTTTCTCGGGGTACATCTCATCCGATACGAACGCATTGGGCAACCCAGTCTTGCTGCATACGCAAGTAGCCCAACGAGGCAGCAGCTGAGGCAATGGGGCGCTCCCGTTTTCGATCGTGTTTGAGGCCCTTCCACAGCTGATGGAGCAAAATGCGAAATATCTGTCCAAAACGGCGGGGTCGTCGCTGCTGTCTGAGAAATCCGAGAAAACCATGGGTCTGACCTGGAAGGGGGCGATTGGAGTGGATTAGGTCACCGGGGATATCGTCCCTCCACCCCCCCACTACTACTACCCACTACTTACGAGGGGAACGGACTTTATGTTGATGAATTGATCGCCCGCCTTACAGTAGCCGACAAACTTGCCGTCCTTGACGCAGTGAACGGTTGCATTGCCTGCAGGAAGGAAGGGGCGGGCTTTTGCAGCGACGCGGCAAGCGCTGTCGTACTGGTTACGAAGGGCAACGGCTTCCTGGGAGGCACATGCGGGACCGTCAAGGGGAGCTGCAGCGACGCAGACTAAGGTCCAGCTGACGAGTGCCGAAGCGAAGAAGCCGGCGGAGAGCTTCATCTTGTTATTGGGTCGACGTAAGGGAGCTGCTGCGGGGTTCAGGGAGCCAGAGGGGACTAGGCTCTGTTTTATACCTGCCGTCCTACTGCCCCTTCCTTCCTCGTTCCACGCCGTTGCCCAGAGACAACGAGGGTGGGTGCGAGCGGGAGCATGAGGGCGGCGGCGGCGGGGTTGGTGGTTGCGGGTGGTAGCGGGTTTTTTTTCAGTGGGCGTCGTGTCGTCCGCCTTTTCTCACGATGAGCGTCCAAGAGCGCCTTCTCTGGCCGCAGAAATGGAAGAATTGGAATTGGCCTGCGGAACACACCCAAGCCTCCCCCCAATCGATCATTCTAGTACATGAAGTTGTTGTTAATGAAGGTGCTGGATGGATGGGCGTTGGGAACTTGGGCGCCCCAACTATTGCCGCTTTGCCGCCGCTCAAATTCTCATTCCCTTCCTTCCACTATTCCACTGGACCACTACTACTATGAAGAGCTGTTCTTCGCGTCTCAAGCACCGTGTTGCGCTATCCCGTGCCAAAGGTCTCGCTCGGATCATACTCGACCCGGTACTTCCGGCGGTGCGTGAATCTGGACCTCGGCGCGACTGCGGGCGAGTATGATACGAGACCTTGGCACGGGTACAATTTGCTTGACAGAACACTGGGATTCGGGAGTGTCTCTGTGTAGAAGACCCGCTTGGCAAAACCCACTATCCCCCACCAGGCAGTGAACGCTTCCTTGTATATAATAATATAGGAGGAAGACGCAGGGTTGGCGGCCGAAAATGGACCGGATAATGGCGTAGATTCCCTTCCTTAGGACGATCTGAATTTGCGACGTATGAACTTGGATGGGAACTCGTATGAACTTGAATAGCTAGTGCGTATGAAATTATAAAGCAGTGTGTGACCAAGAAAAAGATCTGCGTATGAAAAAGCAGATGTGACCATGAAAAAGATATGCGTAGTTCACCCCCGGGAATCATCCCATTGGAAAGATGTCCCGTCAAAATACCGGCAAAATGGAGATCTAGCGGGACAGGTCACTTTGCACCACCGAGAGGTCATTCAGATTCAGGTGGCAATGCCTAGCGCCACTGATTAGGATGCCTTTTAGACGATTCTCGTTTGTTTCCGCGTGGGATTCAAGTCTATGTACTTCCTGGGGTAACCGTGGAGGTAGCAACTGCCAGCTGCAATTGCTTGCCCCATCCGCCGCTCATAGCATATAGCGTGGCGTCGGGTTTGCCAAGGACAGTGACGGTGGATATGGGCACGGTGACTGTATGAGTCTGCGTCACGGTGGAGACAACGAACGACGTGACCACTTTTGTGGAAACGGATGCTCCGGTGGGCGGCGACAAACCGGCTGTAGTTGTCTCTGTCATGGTAATCCTCATCACGCCCGCCTCGGAACCCCCAGATGGCGCAGTGACCGTTTCCGTGAGCGTTTCAGTGAAAGTTTCGATGATACCCGCGGTAGATTCCTGGCGCATGGTGCTAACGGTCACCGTGACGGTGGGCCCCGTTGCAGTCTGCGTCAGTGTCTCAGTTTCTGTCTTTGTCTGCTTCTCAGTCAGTACATCAGTCATTGTGTTGAGGGCCGTTGTCGTCACGAGGCCTGTCACGGTGGCCGTCTCGGTAGCGGTGCCCAAGACTGTCTTCTCGACCGTCTGTGTCAGCGTCTCTGTGTCGCGCCCGGACCCGGTAGCTGTCTCGGTTTGATATACCGTAGCGGTGCCCTCCCCGACCGTCGCTGTGACTGTCTCGGTCTCCTTCATCGTTTGCGTCCGTGTTGCGGTCATGGCGCTGATCTCGGTGGTGGTGGTGATACCCGGTTGGATAGAGACGCTCACAGATACGCTCAAAGTGGTGGTTGTCTCGGTGACCGTCGCTGTCGCAGTGGCTGTTGTCTCGGTGACCGTCGCCGTCGCAGTGGCTGTTTCTGTTCTCGTGGCGGTCTCCGTAGTATCAGAGGTCACAGTTGAGGCTTCTTTCGTACTCGTCGAGACCTCTATCTGGGTTCTGGTGACGTCGCGGGTGAACGTGCTTGTTTCACTGGTCGTGGTAATGCTAACTATTGTCTCCTTCTCGGTCTTCGTCTGTGTCTCAGTCTCAATCTCAGTTTCAGTCTCCGTTGTAGTGGTCGTCGAATCGGAGGTGATCGTAGCGACGGAGGACGCTATATCTGTCTTCGTTTCGGTGGCGGTGGTTGTGAAGGACTGGGTCGACAGGGAGATAGAAACGCTCGCAGCCTGTGTGGTCGTTACGGTTTCGCTCACAGTCTGAGTTTGGATATCTGTGCGAACCCCGCTCAACGTCGTGGTGACTGTGAAGGTCTCCGTGTTGGTCTCTGTTGCCGTTGCCGTATCGGTGCCGTATATGCTCGAGGTGACGGTGGCGGTCGTAGCCTGGGTCTCTGTGTTGGCTACGGTGGCCGTGTCAGTTTTAGTGGTCACCACGCTGGAAGTGACAACCACCGTCGTCCCCGGCGCGGTCGACTCGATCGTGACGGTTGCCGTCGCTGCGGAGGCAGTTGTGGTGGTAATTGATATGGCGGTCGTGATGGTTGCCGTTGATGCGGAGGCAGTTGTGGTGGTAAGGGATATCGCGGTAGATGTCGCTGTCTTGGTGTGCGTCTCAGTGCTCGTCTCTGTGGCCGTCGTGATCCTGGTTTGCGTCTGGGTATGTGTCTGCGTTGCCGTGTCAGTCCTGGTGGTCACCACGCTGGAAGTGGAAACCACCGTCGTTCCTGGCGCGGTCGCCATTACGGTTGCAGTCGATGCGGGGGCAGTCGTTGTGGTAGTTGATATGGCGGTAGATGTCATGGTCTTAGTTTGCGTTTCAGTGTTCGTTGCAGTCGATGCGGGGGCCGTCGTTGTGGTGGTTGATATGGCGGTAGATGTCATGGTCTTAGTTTGCGTTTCAGTATTCGTTGCAGTCGATGCGGAGGCAGTCGTTGTGGTAGTTGATATGGCGGTAGATGTCATGGTCTTAGTTTGCGTTTCAGTATTCGTTGCAGTCGATGCGGAGGCAGTCGTTGTGGTAGTTGATATGGCGGTAGATGTCATGGTCTTAGTTTGCGTTTCAGTATTCGTTGCAGTCGATGCGGAGGCAGTCGTTGTGGTAGTTGATATGGCGGTAGATGTCATGGTCTTAGTTTGCGTTTCAGTATTCGTTGCAGTCGATGCGGAGGCAGTCGTTGTGGTAGTTGATATGGCGGTAGATGTCATGGTCTTGGTTTGCGTTTCAGTATTCGTTGCAGTCGATGCGGAGGCAGTCGTTGTGGTAATTGATATGGCGGTAGATGTCATGGTCTTAGTCTGCGTTTCGGTATTCGTTTGTGTGGACGTCGCTGTCTTGGTTTGTGTCCCGGTGCTCGTCTGCGTTGCAGTGTCAGTCTTGGTGCTGGTTAAAGTCGACGCCGGCGCCGTCGCTGTGGTGGTGGACGTTGCAGTGGATGTTGCTGTCACCGTCGATGCAGGTTTGGTGGTCGTGGTAGTCGCGGTGGAAAGCATGATCGACGTTGTCGTGACGGTGTCGGTGTCTGTTGTCGTTCTGACCGTGGTCTTTGTCGTTGTGGTCAGGGGATTCTGCGGAATCACCTCGACGAGGACTAAAACCGGGGAGTGAGACGGGGGGGTGCATGAGAGGCCTGAAAACCCCGTCCGACAGAGACTACTCACTTCCTTTCCTTGAGGCGTAGTCAACATAGTTATCAGTGTACTGGGTGTCTTGAAGATAGAAATCGAGAGTGGCATCGACTGAGGTTCTGACGTACACTGTGTATGATGCCGTCAAGCGACTGTTGTATGCACTGCAAGGGGTGGTCGTCGCGGAGTTTCCGGTCCAGAAAGTGGAAGGGGATGTGGCGGAACAGCTGATACCCAGAGCTGTAGACCACATCCCGTAACTATTCAAGTTACTGCTCGCACAATACGCCGATCGAGTGCCTCCGTTATTGTAGAAACATAGCGCATCGGCATCCTGGCCGGACGCTCCCGTCCAATAAAGACCAGAGGTAGTGAGCTTATACCAAGCTAAATCGGACAACGATAGTTAGGGTCGTTTCAAAAAGTGGGGACTTTTGCACCCATCGCAAACCCCCACTGGTTGCGAATGCCTTACCGTTCGCCTTGAGGGCCTTGTCAGTCTGCCCCGTGCTTCCGTCAAGCGGCACATAGAAGGAGCTATACGTATAGGAATCGTCGAATGAGGCTCCAACGGGTGCCAAAAGCTGCCTCGTCCATGTCGCGGACGCTCGGCCCGCGAATAAGACAATAGAGAGCAAAAAAAATCTGCCTGTCAACCTGTGCGCAAAAGTATCAACTGAGGAGGGCCAGCTTTTGGATGCCATGTTTAATACCGTGGAATCTTGAATCCCTGTTGAGCGAATCGGGAGTCAACCACTGGTAATATTGTAAGGCAGGTAATGTCGCCGATGTCGAGAAAGGTTTGGGAGCCGGGATGAGCCTTTTCGGGAAACCAACATCTGGGGCGGAAGGGTGCAGGAGCAAGGTAACGGATCGATCTGAGGTTATGCTTATGTAAATCGACAGGTGCAATGACGAGACGCAATTTCTTCCCTGTAAACCTATCGGCTAAAGTACGTATGATACTCCTATCTTTCACTGCCAAAGTGTTTCCAGAACGGTTCCTGTCACTTGTAGCGGGTGTCGATACCATCCTCCAGACAGTACCCATTTGGGCTTTGCAACCTGGGTCCACCTAAGCGAGTCTGACGGGCAGCTGGCGAAAGGACTCTCCCGTCGGCCCGAAAACCGCCGGTCGCCCAATTCCCGACCGAATCCCACTTTCGACAGCGCGTAACCTCGCCTCGCGACGCTGTACTGTCAACTACCACTCACTGGACGATCAGCCTCCTCTCGGTTGACCCTGAGGAGCCCTTCGTGTCCACCCTGTGTAGTAAACTTGTCATTGTCGCAAATACTGATTGGTCAAACTACCAGGACCTGGGGTCTTTTTTGATGGAACCAGAGCGGGTGGCTTTGGCCGTCAAAAAAGGGTGTTGTCTCGCTAGGTTGGGATATCTCTATAATATCCCTTTCGTCTCGTTCGTTGCTGCAGGGGTCCCGCATGGGTCCCGCAGTTGCTCGAGCTCACGCACGCCTTGGGGAGCGCGCTGAGCTGCCCGACCCTCGACCACCAGGAGCTCCGTCCCTTTGAACGAGCGCTGCTCGGAGCCGTCGATGAATACGGTGATCTCACATATGTGGCCAAGGCCGACTTCATCGCAGGCAGCGTTCGGACGACCAGGGATGTCCATCGTCTCCTTTATACGTCGGGACTCTGATGAATGATATATGTGGCCCAGGCCGACTTTCAAAGTAAGGCCCACAATTTACTAGGATCGACAATTAGTAGATCGAGTTGGGCGCGAGATTTGGATTGTGTGGTGCGCACTTTATCGATAGCTTGTCTCCGGCCTCTCATATGCCAATTTACTCAACTGCGTACCAGAGACCAGGGTCTTGTAAAAGAGAGGCGGAGGAGGTCTACTCTCAATCCTGCTGAGGAAGTGTTTTGGGATCGAGGCAACCCGGAGACATCTGCTGAAATTTCCTTAGGTTTTGGATGCTGAGGTCAGCCTGATTGGTGATATGTGCTACCATGGAGACAGTTCCCGCCAGAATATATCCCTGGTGCACTGGGAAGTGCCGAGGCAGCGGAATGCAGCTCGAAACGCCGGTAGAGTGAGGGTTCTTCTCAGTTTTTGCTTAGAGATAGCTTGTCTCCGCGAAAAAAAACTCACACTTATTCTCAACCTCGATCCCAGTAAATTGTGAGCCTAAGGCACTGATTTCTGTGAAGCACCTACAACCACATACCCGGACAAGCATTCAAAAGTATCCCAGGGATGTCGTTTTCGGTCAATCTCCACTACGTACGCTTATTCCTGTTCCATAACAATAGATACCGGCCTCCCCCTGAAAAAGCTTTTGTCCCCTGTGTCCCCTGATCAAACGCGTAGAGCTGGGTTTTGGGAACTGACAGTGACAGTATCCGTTAGAAGTCGCTACAGGGGACGAAAAGCGGCGTTTTCAGAGAACCTTTCATTTCTAGAAGCAAATTTTATTCCGCTTTATATGCTTGTCGCGGGAAACCTTACGAATCACCGTCAACACAGCAGCGCTCGGCATGTCCTACTTCAACGGTCGAAGCGGGCTTGTTCCCTTAGGTATACCGGCAGACCCGAACACATTTCGCTGCCTTCCAAGCGACATCGGTATTCCATCTGCAAACTTCCCTCCATATTCCGTTACCTCCAGCTCCACATTTCGCTGCCTTCCAAGCGACATCGGTATTCCGTCTACAAACTTCCCTCCATAATCCATTACCTCCCGCTGCTTCCAGCGGCGTATCTAGATAGCCGAAAATCAAGACGAGAATTCTACTGGCATTCCACAGTCATGGCGCTAAATTTCAGCGATCCTGCTGTTCTCTACCAGGCTGTAGCGGCCGCACCGGTGCAGGTACGCATGATTCGTCACCTCTGAGCCGGGGGTCCACAGTTTCAACAATGATGGCATGTCTCGTTCATTTTTCTGATATCCTAGGCATACTTCTATGGAGCTTATCACGTCAAAGAGATGCAGGACGGAATCGGTCAGTTGCAAACGGGATTGGAATATTGCACTGGAATAGCAACACAGTTGAACAAAGACATTGGTGGAAACGATGGCAGTGCTATTGTCATGGGGTGCGGTTGGCCGTTGATTCTCCTAGGTTCGTAAGATATTGGTGCAACGATAGATGGCACCTCCTGTTAGTGTCTGGGTAAACACCTCATTTTTTCTTTCCATCAGGAATGGCCGTGAGCGTTTGGAGAATGAAGACAAAGGGCGGCCTGCGATCTTATCTTCTGTTCGCATGCATGTGCTTGACAGTCGCTGATTGTGGTGTCCTAGCGTGGGCCAGGAGCCACTCATACTCGTATACATATGTTGACCACCCCATGTTATACGCGAAACTTCTGGTTCCTTGGTCCATCGCTCGAAGTGCTACCCTTCTTATCGCCTCGAGCTTGCGCTTCCGGGTCATTTTGACCAATCAAACTCGGCAGAAGCTTCTTGTCGCCTTGTTGACAGTCATTGCCATTGCTTAGTTGGTTACTTTCGAGTTCCTGTCACACAACTATATTCGTCAATCAGCTCGTTAATTTTGCTCATTTATGCAGGAACCTGTACAGCTGAATATGCCATTGCACACAGCGAGATTCACGCAAATGAAGGGCGAGGGGTTTCTGATTTTTTTTGGGGTGTATGTGTTATCAATCCTTTAGTCTACGCACTTGTAGGCTTGGGGACCTTTACGAAAGGGGTACGTGGTTCGTTTGCACGCATCTTCACCCAACATCCTACAATAGTAATCGACCCACAACCACTGTAGCTTCGTGCAAATCGAACCAATGGAGTATCAGCACGGTTGGCTGGATCCAAACAAATGAGGGATCTGGAGTTCATCAACAACACCCTTTTGTTCTTCACAATCGTTATGGCATCCATTTTGTTGCTGGCCATCTATGTTCTCGGAGGTGAGGTTTGAGTTCTCTTATGTTCACATCTGGCTTCAGTGGTTTTATATTGTCCCATCCATTTATCTTTTAACCTTCCTTTCAGCGGGAAGATGGTACACCAACCCTATTCAACAAACCGCCAGTGTAGGCGTCGTGGGAGCTTCTGGTTGGTTGAGAGTCGGGTCGGGGGCGTTTTCATGTGTGAGATCCTCTCCTACGCCTACATTTTTCGCATGCCAGTCGTATCCGAGGACAAAACGTCGTTGTGAAGCAAGGTTTCGGTAAAGGTAGTTGTATTTCGTAGTCGTCGGAGTGTCGGGAACGCGAGTGTGTCGATTTATTGTCGGAAGTTTTGATGGTATTTTGACGTTGTCGTATAAAGGTGATCTCATTTGCTCGTCGAAGATTCTAGGCGTATAATCGGCGTCGGAATATTATCGATTTCATGCGCAGTTTGAAGCGCACTACTACAGCGTAGGTACGCTACTCAGTTGGGTCAGTTGAGCTCCTATGGTACAAACTTATGGTCTAGTCTATAGCCGGTAAGATGCTCCCCGGGCTATCTACGCCAGTGTCGTCCTTCTTATAGTGGGGGGGAAGGGGGTGTGTCTCTATCCTACTACTGATCACGCCTGGTCACGCGCGCACAAATACTCATCTTCCCTTGAATCTCCCCATCTCCTCGTACACCGTCGACCTGATCCCTTTCACCATCGGCCCGCTTGTCGCCTACCGAGGGCGTCTGAATTCTGTGGTCTTTTGTCAGATTTTGCAGGATCATTTCCTCCCGTGGGTCTCTCAGAAGCAGGATGGTGAGCCTGTGTTCACCGACTGGGTCTACCAGCAGGACAATTCAAGGGTTCACACATCCCAACTTTCGACGTCTTTTTTCGAGGAAAACTTCATTCCGACCATGGAGTGGCCTGCATACAGCCCAGACCTGAACCCCATTGAGAATCTCTGGGCTATTCTCAAGCGCCAGGTGGAGGGGCGGCGTCCAAAAACCCTGGATGAGCTAGAAACAGTGGTTATGGCGGAATGGGCTAGTTTAGACATTGGGACTTTGACAGCGCTTAACGGGAGTATGTCACGGCGTATGGAGATGGTTATTAAGGCAAAAGGGGGCTCGACCAAGTACTGAATGGATCCCCCTAATTGATACCCATAGCTTGTCATAGTAAATTTGGGACATCCGCGGTGAAATGTATAAAGATGTCGACAAAAAATCGCGAAAATGGCTAGAAACTTTTGTCACCCGACTGGACCATTCTGAAATGAAGGCACGTGATTCATCCCATTCCATGTAGAGGATTGCCGTTCTGACCACTCATGCCCTTCCCAGACTATCCTGATTTATGAACGAGGTCGTTAAGAGTTTCGCTGACGGCCAGCCTCAACTCTGGGGTTGGGAAGCGCAGCTGTACAATATTTGGCGCTGATTCTATCATGAGTGTATTGGCATCGACCGCGGTAATGGCACTTTCTCGATTCATCACGAGTCCCGTGGCAGACGGTGTCTGAGCGTTGCAGCGATCCGCAAGCATCAGTAATTGGGATAACTGTAACGGGTAAGGATCTGGCTCTTACCTGAGCGAACGCCTTTGGGGCAACAATACAAACTTTCTCGTGTGGGTTGATCAAGATGATACCGATATCCCACTGCGCGAATCTGGCCCACCGAAAGCGTTTCACACTGGTGATTCGCATGGAGCACACATATGCCGATGCGTCGCTGGTTTTACCCTGGCGTTTCCATATGCTGGTGGGTGGTGCCATACTCATGTGTCGCTCCCGCTTTGCGTTCTTTCCGTCGTCGTCAGGAAGTGCGCTCTGACGCCGCGATCCGTCGCTCGAGGCATTTTCGACACTGACCTCCTCAATTTCGGACGCATCTTCGCTTTCGGAACCAGATTGTATTCCCCGTAGCTTGGAGTACAGGTTCTTCGCGGAGGTGAGCTTTACCAGAACTGTACCGAATAGCGAAACGTATAATGTGTAACTTTAGGGAGACAGAAGGAGTTTAGATTAGGGTTAATACCGAATCATAGAGATTTGGGTCGCCATACCAGATGAGCCAAGCCTCCGCGTAATAACGATGTACCGCTGAGATGTTCGACACGGCCACAGTGACCGCAATATAGATTACAATGCAAACAATGCTGTTCAAGAAGACGAAAAGGATATATTTCGCATCGTTGAACTTTCCGCTGATAAGACGCGTTCGAAACAAGAAGAACCCTGTCGTACACCCTAGAAGCGCCGTCCACGCCATCAGAACCCCGCGCACGGTGAGGGGAATGTTGGAGTCGCTGCCGCCGCCGGAGCGCGAGGAACTTTGACAGGTGTACGATTCGTTGTATGTCCCCAAGTTCACGCGCTCGATGCTAAGCCGCACAAGCGCCGTTTTGATGCACAGTAGAATCTTTGGGGAATATCTGAGGTGAGCCCCTTGCTGATCATCGAAAGTACCAGTTGCAACGAGCTGAATGAGTTGAACGTACTAATGCAATGCCAGAAGCCGGCAAAGAATATGCAGCAATGACTTCATCCGTGATCCTCAATTTGCGAAACGGCATGGCTATGAAGAGAATAAAAATTCTGCTCGCTTTCGCGAGCAGCAATCCAATGGTGAGGTTGGCGCCGATATACAGCAGCCACTCACGCGCATAGCAAGACGCGGCGGCACCCGTCGTGATTCCGAATAGATTGCCGGTGAAGAGGAGCGCATGCGCGATGCATATAAGGAGCATGATAACTGGACTGAAATTCCGCAGCGTGGCAGAGTGCCGGTTCATGGCGACGAACACGCCTGCGCAGATCGATCCGAGCCATCCGCTGACGTTGAAAAGGGTAAGCACTGCGATGACAGGGTCGCTGTACCTAATATGGACTAATCGGAAAGATGAGCTTCCAGAAACTTATGGGGAGCTTACATATATACAGGATGCAATCGGGAAAGTATGTCAACACAGCCGAGAAACTTACGCGGCTTGATAATCGTTATCATGAACGGCGAGCCGCTGACATGCTCCCCAGCAATCAAAACGTCAATATGGTACTGCCCAGCCGGCTTGTCTGTATACTCGAGATACCACTTCTCCCCTTCTGCCACGAAATCCAGAATTGTACCATCTTCTTGGAAGGTTGCATGCATGCTTATGTTTTGAAGAGTGGTGTGTGCAGGCGAAAGCTTGTTCCCATACATATCTTTCAAATCAATAAGGAACGTATCGCTCCGTTCCCAAAGACCTTGAGCGGAACCCCCTACCACCACCGTACTTGTTCGGGCGCTCGGCGGTTTTGGGTAGAAAGTAACACTGAATCCTTCGGGTTCGTAAACGTCGCCATTCAGATAGATGCGCAGTGAGTATGTTCCGCTTGTGAATTGCCGGATGATGAAGGTATAGGTTCCATTGCCAATGTCTTGCGCCAACAGAACGGTTCCGGTTTCCTTGTCACCGCCCAGGAGGGTCGCCTGTGGAAGGAAACGTTAAAGAAAGCTTCTTATTTCAGAGGGTACAACTTCATGAAGCCATACTGTTACTATGGCTCCACCGTACGTGACAGGCGTCCCAATGGTGGTATGAAGTTGCACGCTAACGGTGGTCTCTGTCCCAATCTCGCAAGGAGTTGATATCAAACTACCAGATACGGCAGATTTGCTGACATTGGCGCCGCCTGAAGATAAGCGGAGAAATACGCGCACTGCATCAGTATCGCCATAGAGAAAGTCACCTACGCGTACTACTCACCGAGAAGCTCTAGCTTCCACATGTCAAATATTCCGCCATCGGACGCATGACCGCCGAGGAAGAAGAAGGAGTTCTGATGCAAGACACTACAGGATCCAGCTCTCCTAGGAATTTTATCTTTGTTCTCAACATGCAGTTGGGACCAGGTCAAAGTGGTGAAATCAAAGGCGTAGGTATCATGTTCAACGAAAACAGCGTTGTTGCTGTCCACGCGTTGGCCCCCAAACGTCAATAAGGCGGCGTTTCCTAGCTCATCGGTCGTCATCGCACGTGCCATGAAATTGAGGTACGGAGCATTGCCGACGATCGGAATGGCCGTTACGGTCCATGTGGTGACGTCCGTCGTCGGGTCAATGAGGATCTGCTGCGCTGGTCGATCTACTGATTCGCATGTTAATGACGGGCTGCTCCGAATCAAACGAAGGGCAATAGCGGAATGCATGGGTTGAAATATGATTAGAAAGGATGCAGTCACGAAAAACGACGATTTCCCCCAACTCAACTGGTCATAGCACTGCCATCCCTGGTACACAAACATCTTATTATTCCACACTGCAGACACAGCGCCTTCAGACCGGATGAGGCCCTCGTAATTGACGATTGTAATGTTGTTGCCATGCCCGTCAGTAATTTGCCCCGTCGTCGGTTGATCAGATGTAAACCACCGCCATGTCTTCAAATTCAGAGCCCACAAAGGAAGCTCGATCCAGTACCCGTAGAAGGAGTCGTCAACTCCCCCTGTAAGAATCCACCAGTCGCCTATCACTGCTGCCTGTGACCACTATGTGAAAGGCGGTACATGGAGGAGTTCGGGTTAAATTGTATTCATGTCAAGTTCAAGAGTACCGAATATCCAGGGTGCTTCGAAGCTTACCGCGTATTTCCCAATGGTCTCCGCAATTGGCGGGATACCTATGTAACTCTCGGACGTGATGTTGAAAATCCACATATCGGTCAAAAATATTGCGCCGTCATACCCGCCATAAATCATGATCATGTCGTTGTACCGGCTGCAAGTAGGTAATGATCTGGAATCGTCAAAACATCAATGAAACTTAGATGGATGATAGCTTCGCTTCAAGTTTCCGCAAACTGTATCCTATGGGACCGTACCTGGAAGGCATTTCTCCTGGGATGTCTACTATATTTCCTGTGTTCATATCCAACTTGGAGAGGGAATGATAGTATGTGGTCGACTCGTCCGCATGCCAGCCGCCAACAAGCCAGACAGCGTTCTTCGCAGAATCGTCGACCGCGCAAGAGCTTACTCGGGTACCGTTTATATGGACAGGTTCCCATCTGGAGCAGAAGCATTAATCTTACTAACCCTAAGCTCTGGTACACGTCGGGTAACAGAGGTACCTTGGCTTAACGGTGGCGGTCACGGAAGGAATGCAAATTGCGATCCACAAAGCGCAGAGCAGTACCAACAGCGTCATTTTCTGAAATCGCGATGCCGCAATATCTCCTATGCAGTCAATATTAGCTGACCTCGTATAGTATTGGCGTCCCAAACTGCCGTGAGGCGGGTATGCAAATCGAACCTGTCATTAACTGGGTCCTCCAAATGTTTCCTGGTGTGCTGTCAAGCTTATTCCAGGAGTGTTACGTAATCACGGATTTTCCGCGCGTCACCTGTCAAAACTCATCCCCGGCCAAGGGTTCCCCGAAGAATTCCAGCGAAGTGTGGAATTTGACAATTGGGACAACAACCAAAGCTCAATTGGGATAACAACCAGACCCTACCTCATAAGAAACATGTCGAGGACAGCATCTCGTTTCGTTTTCCGTTGTCTTTTTTGGGCCACCGTTGTGGGCTTCTTGTGCAGACGCACCTCTGCAACACGGTGGATACCAGTCCTACAGACTGGGGATATTCCGCCCGCTCTCGATTTACCTTCCCAAGTGTTTGTTCCCCAACGGAACGAGACTCTTCTCATAGGCGGGTTCGACACGACAAACAAAGGATTCGGGAACTACTTCCCCGCAAAGAACTCGTCGGGCATTTCCGCCTACTCTAGCACATTCTCCATCAGGAGTGGTACTACCAGGGATGGAACCCCCCAATGGGTATGGAAGAACTTGGCGCCCTCACAATTTGCAGTCGATGCCGGTGGAAGTTCTGCGGCCATCACAGATGATGGCAATATGGTAGTCCGCTGGGGTGGGGTGCAGATGGATGCGACTCAGAATCCATTGCTGAGTACCGTGCACACCATGAACTTCACCGGCGAAGCGTGGGGAGCCTGGGTGCCAATGCAAACGACAAATACGCCGCTACTATCCGCCTTCGCGAAGGCCGTAAGTATTCTTACACTGTAGTGATTGCGGCTTTTTCAAATATTGATCTGAATTACGTAGGTAATCTACGGGGACCTTTTCATCACCGTGGGGGGTATCGACGCCGACGGGGCAGTGAATAACGCTATAAACAAGCTTTCTCTCCGAACGGGTACATGGAGTACAATGAGTGTTATTGGAGAGAATTTGCCAGCCTCCTGGGGACACAATGTAGTGCTTTGGAGAAACTTCCCACTTCGAGATGCTGTTGTTCCAAATGGAAACGGGATGGCCCCTGCTGAGAGTAGCGACGTTCTGCTCATTATCGGCGGACAAGTTTGTCCAAGTGACACACGGGCGGCGGGCCCAAGTTGTTTCATCAAATACCCCGGTTATGCGCTGGACTTGGCCACCGAGACTCTGCATTTACTGGATACCAAAGGAACAAGCCCGGGTTATAGAGCGCAAGCTACCGCGCAATTGGTTCTGCAACCAGATGGAGAATATGCCTTGTCGCTGACAGGTACGTCCGATCATATACCCGACGCCCAGTCAGCTTTTCTGAATCGTTGTATCGCGTTCTCCGATTCCATCGCCCTTCTTTGCACAATGATTTGTTATAGGCGGATATTACGGGGATTCGACGTACGTTTACTGGTTTTGGTCAGACAACTGGTTGTATACGCCAACTTCGCGGGTTTGGTCAAACACGCCGATCGCGAATCCGAGTACCTTTCCAAATCGCTATGGGGCGTTCTGCGTCCCGCCGTTTGCCACAGTGGGATTCGGATCCACGTTCCCCTATTCGGTGCATACGGACGCATGGGCTCTTGTAACCTCCGGAGGGGATACCAGCCAGTCGAGCCTAAACTTATCGGGTGGTGGCCTCGTTGTCAGCGTCACCGGGGTCGAGTACATCTTAACGATGCGCGATTCTCGCGGACTCGAGCTAGGGTACGGAGGCGAAACCGTGATGGGTTTTCTAGTCGATGAATATGGGCGCACGACGATTGGCGTAGTTGATGATCACGGCAATGGAACGTATACTATCGCCTTCCAGGCCAGCTGGGCAGGCGCACACGATTTGTATGTCAACTATAACGGTGCTAGCATGTTCGCGTCTACCAGTGTCAAGGTGCGAGTTCTGCCTGGCGCCGCAGACCCTTCGACCTCGTCCGTAACTTTCGCCACTGAACTCTACCAAGGAGTCAATGCATCGCTCGCATTGGATGTGCGTGATTTTACTGGCAATACCTTGTTGCAAAACGATGCCCTGATGGCTACGACGGTTTTGATTGCTTACACCCAGTCGTCTCAATATCAAGTTCCTGGTTTCAGAAGGGAACCTACAGAAGCACAGTTGGGATACGTCGACGGACAGGTCATTGCAACATTTGTACCAGAAAGTCTTGGCAACTTGACCGTTACCGTATTTCTCAATGGAATGTATCTCTCGAATGCGGTGATTCCAGTAAATAAGCCAATTGAACGTGCGTACGTACTGGTTATTATCTGAAATTCCAGGGAATCAGCGGTCCAGGCGGGTATTACACCAACTAACCGTTTTCGGAAATCGTACCATTTAGTGCCATCGAAACTTCGAGCGAATAGTAGCCCATACCCGGCGATAATTCTAATCTTGACATCAATCAACCTATTCCTGACGATTTTCGACACCGTTCTCCTTATACTAGGACGAGAACAGTTCAGACAAGAGCTGCTATGGCACTTCACGCTCCTTCCGAGCTTCATTATGTCCGCGCTTTATGTATTGACCATTTTGGTGCTTCCCACCACGGCGATTTGCGCTACACAACCATGGATGCTTACACTTTCATTGGGAATACCGGCCGGGGCGCTGCTTGCGCGATCATGGAGTTTGAGGCAGAGGTTGGGAGACTTCACCGTCGGCAGCGCCGCGGTCGAGGTGCCAGCCAATCGATACATAAAGACTTTCATCTTTTGCGTTTCTTGTTATTTGGTACGTAGCTCATGCCACTATCTCCCGAAAACGGATGATTCTAATTTGGTTTCGGCACTGTAGATTCTTCTCATTGCTTGGACGGCCACCCGAAGGTTGGCCGCGTTTACTCTTCCCCTGTCCCGTGGCACATGCGAGTTGGACACTCATCAGGGAGCATACGCCATATCAGCCTTGCTTGGAATTTTTCAAGCATCAGCATACCTGATGTCAACGGTGCTGACCGTGCAAGGAGTGCAAGCTACTCGAAGCGTAGCAAAGCGTTTTGAAGAAACACAATTTCTTGACGTAGGCGCGAAGCCGCAGGCGACGAACGAAGCAACCTACATGGGGCTATTGAGTGTGGTGTGCGCGGGCATTTCCATTTTGGTCTTGGCCATTATAGCCACCCCGACTCCAAAGAACCAGATTGTCATGGACTATGAAACTCGGACGGTCATCTGCGCCATATTGTCTCTGGTCCTCGCGATCGTAATTCAGATGTCCACAATTGCTCCGCCGGCATTGAGAGTTCTGCAGTGGCGGGGTTGGGTTCCCACTTTCTTGCGAGCGGCCGACACATCTGGACCTCTTCCCGCCGCAGGTCTTGATGAGGTGCAAGCCCAGCGTAGGCAAGAAGCGTTGTCGCGGCTCTACTGGGGGGAGGCCGACAGTGGGTCAACGAAAGGCCGAGCTTTGAAAGAATTCCGGATAGAAATTGGGATCAAGCGCGCATACGGCAGCGAAGCTACAGCAGGAGATTGGACTCCGGCGGTTCTTACAGCCTACATGGCTGGCAAGCGGCATATTTGCACCCTCATTGAGAAGGTATATCGATCTAGAGTTCCTCCACTTGGCGAATTCGCCCATGCACATGATCTGACCTCCCTCGTTTCAACCGAAACAGACAGGATCGCAAGACTGCACGGTGATCAACCATATCGCAGAGGTTCGCCTGGTGTACATCAAATCAAAGCCAGCAGGGTCGGTGAAAACTGATATCGAAAAGGCAATGTCAACGTCATCAAGAATAAACCAACCTCCATTGAAGCCTGTTGTGCGCCTACAAGTTTCCGCACGATTGTCTCTCCGCTTAGCTTTCGAGGACGTCGGCGAAGCAAAGAAGTGGTTGGCGATCCTCGAGGCTATCTCAGAGTCGGGTGCCGCCACTGGGTCGTCTGCGAATAAAAAGGCCGGAGCCGCACCGGGCACTTCAACCGTCACGAAGCCCGCGAACATAGCTGCCTCTTCTGCTTTACCCTAAGTGGTGATATTGTGGCTCCAAGTACGTTCACGCGGGCCAAGAAGCAGAAATTGTTTGTACCCTGGTCGTCTCATGTTGCTACATATACTTGGAGTAGTTGCTAAGGTTTTGAACCATACACGAGCCATATCTTCCGTATATCTGACAAGTCTTCCATTTTGCGGGCTATCTTGTTTTCATGTCCTTAGGGTTACAAGAATGTTTCCCGTGCTGGCAGCGCTGAATACTAACGGCCTAAATGGGCTCTCGTGTGCGGCGAACGGGTTTATATTCATCTACAGTACAAAGAGCGGGAGGTAAAAAGGGGAAGGATAAGGTTAGGAACAGGTTTGAGGTAAGCAAGTTCTCTTATGCTTATTTACCACCTGTGGAGGACGTTCAAAGAGATAAAAAGTCCACCGTCTTGGCGAGGCCAGGTGCAAACACCGCACGAAAGAAAACGCCTGCATCCTGCCCACGATTGTCGTAGGCGCATGTTTGCACAATTCGTGCGAGATTTCGCAACCGTCTTGGCCGGGCTAGGCGCATACACTGCACGAAAGAAAACGCCTGCATCCTGCCCACGATTGTCGTAGGCGCATGTTTGCACAATTCGTGCGAGATTTCGCAACCGGCGTCCTGGATTACACTGGGATATGTCGGACTTGGCATTTCCCTCCTTCCCGTCACCGGTATCTACCGCCTACATAAGTTACCATATTTGCTTGCGCTCGTAAGAGATGCAGTCCGGAACTTTCAAAATGACAACGATGGTTTTAAAATCCATCGAAGGGAAAGTGTTGATTGCCCGTTGCGTCCTCTCCGCTAACGCCGATAGGTAAACTCGGTGAGGAACATGGCGACGACAGTTTTAATCTGCATGCCCACGAATGCCTCCCCTATGCACATGTGCCTTCTAGCACCTAAGAGCAGAAAATGAGATCGCGCCGACGTCTGCGCAACATCGACGCCGTTTAGGAACTCTGCGGGAACCTCGTCCACCTTGCTCCAGCGGAGAGGGTTGGCCGGACCCGGAAAGCGCGCTGTGTCCATGTGTGAGACGGCCTGCGATCCCTCCAGAAATGACCGGGGATCGTGTACCCCTCATACTGAATGTCCTTAACGACTAGACGCATGACCGGGTGGAGACGTGGATGGTTTTGGAGCAACTATTCCATAAGGCCAATGAGGTCGGTCAATTTCCGTAAGTCTACGGCCAACTTCCAAGAGGAGCGGCGCCAGTCCTGCACCTCTTTACGTGCAGCTTTGACCATAGCAGGACAACATGGAGATCCAGAAGTGTTCACCTTTATGGCTGAATGCTACGTTCAACTATTGGCGTTACCAGCGACAGGGATGACACAACATGATATAACTGTCAACCTGTACTATATGGAGAACAGATTCAAGCTTCATATACCAGGTACAAACGCCGATGCTATGGCTGTGGTCTTCAGCGTTGGTCCTGCCATATGGCGAGAAAAATCGAGGACGTTGAGATGGCTGTACCGCTGTCTCTCGCTTACTCTTGCTCTTCCCATTTCCATCACTGCTGGAAATGGACACCTTTGTCCGTGTTCTCCATGTGGGCCCACACGGCATTACATTGAGGAGAGGAGAGAGGCGCTTACACCCGCTCCAATGATCCTGCTGAAGCTGAAGGAAACTATGAGGAGTCATTACCAATGCCATTCAGCCAATCAGGGGAATAAAATCACACGGAGAGCAGGTTCGACCTCATACCTGGCCTAACCTTTATCAATGCATTAACCCTGTTCCTAAGCCTAACCTCTAACAGCATTTACCACACCAAGATCTGAAAGTGTCGCAACTGGAGACCACACCCAGACAACCGGTTAGACAACAGGTACATATTTACTGGGTTTCCGTTGGAAGGAGCTGCCCATCCCCACTTGAACTGAGCCAGTTTCGTCGGGTTCATATCGGTCCATATTTTGACAATACTTATCCAACCACCGGCTACGTATAAATGATACTAAAGTGGAGACGCTCTGAGCAGCTTCTCGAGGGAATCCATACAGGGCGTCAAAGACGGAAACATCTGTTGCGTGCAGTCTAGAGTACTGTACTTCTTCCGAAACCGTTCGATCCTATACAGCACAAGTTCCTCAAATCCAACCGTCACCTACGATCACGTGGCGCGGGCTCTTTAGGTGTACCAGCCGAGTTCCCGTGTGCTATCCGCGGCCGTAACCCATCGAGACAGATACCGAATCGTCGAAACCATAATCCGAGCAACGCAACACCTCGGACCCGTTTACATGCCTTCTAGCATGGGCCGCAACCAGCATATGCGGCAAACCTTGTCAGACAACAGTGTAGGTAACCGCGGTTGTGCCGCCTATCCTCCTGCAAACGAGGCCAACGAGACAACAGTGCTCGTTCCCCCACCTCCAACCGAACACACTCCGCGATAGCCTCGACAAACTGGAATTCGCGGCTGCGCTTGGTGATCCTTGTCTCTGCGGTTTGGATTTTGCGTTCAATCGGCGACCCGTGGCCCGTGGTGTCGATGACGAACTCAGGAAGATTTTCGAAAAATCTTTCGGCGTATTGGAGCCGGGTGTGGAGATGATACCCTCATGTTGCGAGCACTTTCTTTCATCTTAGGGTCAGGGTTAGGGTTAGGGTTAGGGTTAGGGGTTAGGGTTAGGGTTAGGGTTAGGGTTAGGGTTAGGGTTAGGGTTAGGGTTAGGGTTAGGGTTAGGGTTAGGGTTAGGGTTAGGGTTAGGGTTAGGGTTAGGGTTAGGGTTAGGGTTAGGGTTACAAGACCCCCTGGGTTGGGTTTTATTATTGGGTTGCCTGGAACCCTAGGGACTTAGAAATTTTCGAGTTTTTTGGTTTTGGGGAGTGTTCTACAGTTCAGATTCCAGGTTCCAAGGTGTAGGGTGCCGGGGGTGGTGCGCACCTAGGCAAGTCACAGGGGATCACGTGTGCAAGGGTAAGTGATGGGTTGGGTGCGGGTGGTGTGGCCAGGAGCGGGGAGGGGTGCAAATGGGGGGGATGCGGAGCAGGGGTGGAGTGTAAAGGGGGGATATATATTCCATATATGTATGGTATAGGACTTGTCTTCTTTAGATTTTTTTTTCGCCGATCCGGAGTTGGCATCCTAATTAAAAAGTAGGCCCCATATCATATTCTCTAATTGAAGTACTCTCGGATTGGCTATCCGTGCGGAAACGGCTTCAGAAACTTAGAAAAACGAAATTTTCACGTGACGGGGATAAAAAAATGGCAAATGTGGTGATATCTCAACATCTGGCTGAATATTCAGTGTTGGGCACTTAATGAAAGTTGATTGAAGAAAAGGGCCCCTTTTCAATTCTCAAGTCGTGACCCCCAAGACCTCCTAACAAAAGACACGAGTACGTATGTGCAGGCAAAGGGGTTTGGCCGTGTTCTCCAGTAAACATTTTGTGAATTCCGCTGTGCATCGTAGACTGTTTGTAGGACCGTTGCGGAATGTCATTTACCAAAACTGTTGAACATTTTCCGTTTAAAGCAGTGTTCTACAGTTTGTCCATGCAGGTTAGAGCACGTGACCTGGGCTTGCTTGCAGGGTATGCAGAGTGAGAGGGTTGGGGTTAGAGATTTCCCAGATCACTTATTAAATTCAGCCAAACTGTCTCTGTCATGGAACATTTAAAATGGTGGAAAGTAGTATTGCATTTATTGATTTAGAGTACATTGGAAAAGCGCACATTCAGAAAAGGGTTTTGGTGTAAAGTTATCAACGACATTCAACAGTACTAAAGGACTTCCGCAAGCATGTCACGGACTTGGTTCTCTCCAAAAGTCGTACGGCACTCAGGGTACCTGGCGCAGCGGAGACGGAAACGATGCTGACCGCCAATGCTATGAAAAGCTGAGCCTCCACAGTTGGGACATTGAAGCTGATCACGATGCTGATGGAAGAGTTCACGGATATTGCCAATGGGAGCAGCATCAGGCACTTCCCCATCCCCATGACCCCACCAAGCACGAGCAGGATCAATGACGGGTGCAATGCCTTTGAACCATCCGGGATTGAAACCAAAAGAGTTGAGAACATCTCGGAAGCGCTGACAGTCTGTCACAGTAGTCTGTCTATTGCGATCTCCTCTGAATAGAACTCTGGTGGCAGCGTCCATGATGCCATTGATGAGACTGTAGTACTCTTCCACCGGCACAAGCTTCAAGGAGTTTGCGCCCATGTGCTGGAAAATGGTCTCGATCTGGTCCAAATGGAGATTCAAAACCATCTGTTCCGCTGATTCCAACCTGGCGCACTGAACTCGCACTTCAACTCGCATGCCAGTAATGTGGAGCGGGTGATCGTTGAGCCATTGACGTAAACCTCTCAGTGTCTCACTGCGATCACCAAGGCTGGACTTGGTTTGGGGCATTCGCGAAGACAAAGTCGAAGAGTAGGCTTTGAGCGCATGAACAAGCTTTGGGTAGCAAGTAACCCGAACATTGGCGTGACCCGCAATGTCAAAGCGGGTGGACCCAAATCCCTCACCAAGGATGGTGAGCATGGGAAAGGTGGCTCCAACTCCACGTCCATTGTAGCAAACCAAAGGAATGACACCACGAGTGTTGAATGTCTGACCAATGTCCCATGTGTTGAGTGCAGCATCGGGATGGTTGCTCACTTCCTGGTCAAAGGAGTAGGCTGGCAAAGTCTGAATGCGTTGCTTCATTCCATACTGCACAATGCGTACAGAGGGTGACACAGCACCAATGATGTCCTGGAACCCAGACATCAACAGATTTTGCCGCCCAGCAATCAATCGTGAGTGATCCGTGCTTTCCCTCACGATGATCGAATGTTCATTGTGAAGTAACTCAAGAATCCTTGCCTTTAGGGTTAGGGTTAGGGTTAGGGTTAGGGTTTAGGGTTAGGGTTAGGGTTAGGGTTAGGGTTAGGGTTAGGGTTAGGGTTAGGGTTAGGGTTAGGGTTAGGGTTAGGGTTAGGGTTAGGGTTAGGGTTAGGGTTAGGGTTAGGGTTAGGGTTAGGGTTAGGGTTAGGGTTAGGGTTAGGGTTAGGGTTAGGGTTAGGGTTAGGGTTAGGGTTAGGGTTAGGGTTAGGGTTAGGGTTAGGGTTAGGGTTAGGGTTAGGGTTAGGGTTAGGGTTAGGGTTAGGGTTAGGGTTAGGGTTAGGGTTAGGGTTAGGGTTAGGGTTACAGGACTGTTCCCGGTTATGGGTTATTTTTGGCCATCCAAAAAGTGTCATATAAAGTTGCTAGCAATGTTCAGGGGCATCTTACTGTAATGTGCTTCAAGTTTTGGGGCATGTTTTCCACTCAATGCCCCGGGAAAATCTGTTTTTCCGATTTTTGACTATGAAAATATTGCCAAAATGCATTTTCTGAAACTCTGAGTGGATGGATTTCGCTTAAAGTGGAATATGTCTCAGAAAACATCCCCAAAAACATCTAGGAACCTTCATCTACTCTAGTATTCATCAACTCCTGGCACTTTTTGTTTCCAGGCAATATGGGGGTGTTCTCCAGTTGGTGGCGAATGACTCATTTTGGTTTGCTCTCAATTTGCTACATGTTCAAATCCTTTTGAGGCCCAAATACTTTCTTTTCTTCCACTGCTCCTCCTGATGGTGGAGGAATGCAAATGCCTTAGGGTTAGGGTTAGGGTTAGGGTTAGGGTTAGGGTTAGGGTTAGGGTTACAGGACTGTTCCGGGTTATGGGTTATTTTTGGTGGTCCGGAAAGTGTCAAAAATAGGTGCTAGCAATGTTCAGGGGCGTCTTACTGTACTGTACATAAAATTGTGGGGCATGTTTTCCACTCAATGCTCCCGGAAAATCCGTTTTTCAGATTTTTTACTATGAAAATGTGACCAAAACGCATTTTCTGAAGCTCTGAGTGGATGGAATTTGCTTGAAGTGGAATATGTCTCAGAAAACATCCCCAAAAACATCTAGGAACCTTCATCTACTCTAGTATTCATCAACTCCTGGCACTTTTGTTTCCAGGCAATATGGGGGTGTTCTCCAGTTGGTGGCGAATGGCTCATTTTGGTTTGCTCTCAATTTGCTACA